TTGAAGTTTTATTCCACCATCTAACAGAATCTTTCCTTTCATAACTACAATTAAAGCCCAGGAGATAGCAAGAATGCCTTCTGAAACCAAAAGAATTCTGAAGACCACTGCTTTCCAAACCTTAAACCAGCCCAATCCACCATCTCTTCTCTCTGGAAAAGAAATTTGTCCAATGAAGCAGTCTTCAGACCACACTGAGGGAAGACTGGTCAGTCTTCAGGGCACACTGAGTGTGCCTCATTACTGTTAGAAAGAAAAGCTGGCTGCTTTCCTTTGTCTTCCCACACTGGCTTTGGAAGGCACAGCCTAAGTATCTGTAACACTAACTTTTAAGTTCCTGGAAATGTGCTAGAAAACTGTCAAGGATTCTTGTTTTCCAATAAGTACTTTCTCCTAGTTAAGAATGCAAGAGGGGGCTGAGGATCTGGCTCAGTGGGTAGAGTGCTTGCCTCGAAAGCTCAAAACCCTGGTTTTGATCCCCAGCACTGAACAATCCCAAAGTCCTGGCACAGCAGTAATCCCCAGGAGAGGTGGGGAAATAGAGGTTAAACATCTTCTTTGGCTACACAGTGAATGCAAGGCCCACCTGGGATACATGAAACCATCTCATAAAGAAAAAATATTAAAAATATCAAATAGACATAGTTATGGGTCAGTAGCATGAAGCTATGGAAACGCTACTGCCCTCCAGGTCTGCCTAGTTCCTACATTTACAATCTTTGCAATCCAGGAGACTTGACTTTGTTTCCTTACTCCCAGGTCCTGATTTGGTTTCTGTTTTGTTTTGTTCGTGTGTGTGTATGTGCTAGGTATTAAAGCCAGTGCCTCATATGTAGTAGCAAATGCTGATTCTTTGTAAAATGTAAATTCTAAAACTCACATCTAAAAAGAACATTAGAAATATGAAAGTAAGCTGAGTGCCACATTGTAAGATAATGCCTTCATTTCCAAAATGAAAAGTTAAATTATACAGCAATTCACTTTGCCTTTTTGTTCAATTTTAAAATTCGATGGCAAGTTAGTAATATATGTACATATATGTGTATGCATCTATATATGTACATATTGGTTACATTCTATACATTAAGACAAATGAGTATTACTCAGTACTCCTGAGGTACTGAGAATGCCAAAATCTGAGGACACTCAGGTCTGGCACACAAAATCATCTATTGTGTGTGCACAGTGACCACCACCCTCCTGAGTAGTTCGAATGATTTCAGGGTGATCATAACTAATACAGTATGCACAGTGTGCAACTAGCTATACATTGTATTGTTGAAGGAAAAAGAAGGAAGTCTAGTCCATATTCAGAATAAAGGTAATTTCTCTTCAAGTATTTTGATGCACAGGTGGTTGAATCTGAGGCTATGGAACATGCAGGGACAAGGCTGAGTATGTATCATTTATATATATATATATACCATATGTACTAAAAGAAACACCACGAAACCAAAGCCCACAAGCCATTATGGTTTTTCCCTTCGTTGTTTACTGAAGTCAAGTACTTAAGTGATATAGTCAAGGCAGGTAGGAACAGATAAGAGAGTCTGGATTGACTTATCTCACTCCAACTCTTCTGAACCCAGTTCACAATTATCATCACATGCCAGATGACCTCAGAGTGGAGCTGTTTGATGCCTCACACCAAAATGGCCCCAAAGGATAAAAAATAGTAGCTGGGCCTTTCCACCAACTGAAAATTGTGGTTCAGAAGAATATTCCCTAGTCTTTAGGGTCCATGAGGCCATACAAGATGCACCTTCAGTCTAACTCTGTTGCCTTCTCTCAGGGCTCTTCATTCTGTCTATGGCTATGTAACCCGCCTACACTCTTAACTACATAGTAACACCTTCATTTTGAAACCTCCCCTCCACAGTTACTTCTTATCCCACGACATTTCATATCTTCTCTATTTTCACTTCTTGCTGCTTCTAAAATCCCCATATTTTGTGTCTGTCCATCCACTACACCATAAGGTGACAGATGCAGCACTTGTCTGTTTACTGGCATATCCTGACACACAGAGAAGCATCTGGCATAGTTAGTGTTCGCATTCAGCAATGGAAGTCTGATGATTACGGCTACTTAACAAATTCTCTCCAAAACTTGTAGCTTACAATAAAGAAGCATCATTTCTATTGTTCCTCAGTCTGGGGGGCTTTACAGAGCTCAGGTACCTGATTAGGGTCCCTACTGAAGTGATAGTGAAAGGATGGATCTGGAATCATTGAAGGCTTGCTCTCCCTCATGTCTGGTACCTAAGCTTGGAAGACTCAAAAGGATGCCAAAGCATGGATTGTTGGAGGTATGTCTTTCAATACGGGCTCATGAGGTCTATCCTGGCAGGACATGTGTGGTGTCTATAGCACTAAAGCAAATGGTCCAAGAGAGGTCACTTGAGGAAATTCTACCATTTGCTTTAATGTCCTGACCTTGAAAACACTATCACACTGCCATGGCCCTCAATTTGCCAAAGCAGTCATAAAGGTTCATCTGTGTTGACACGTGCTAGCCAGGTGCTCTACCACAGAGCCATATGCTCAGTTCCCCCTTTTAAATAAGAGACAGAAAAGTTATTGGAAAGAATGTGGAATACAAATATTGTAGTAAGTTTTATAAAATTCAATCTGCTACACCCCAAACAAGGAATTTATAAGGCTAAAAGTCAAAGTTTCCACAAAGAAGAAATGTGTACTTAAGAGTAAGCAAGATCAGTCAGGTGCTGAAGAGATGGCTGCAGTTAAAGGCACTGCTGCTCTTCCAGAGGACCTGGGTTCAATTCCTAGTGCCCACATGGCAGCTCACAGGGGATCAGGCACCCTCACACCAATGCACATTAAAAAAAGAAAAAACAGCCAGTCTTCACAAGCAAACCCCAGGAAACAAGACCAACCATGACAGAGACCAAATCAAATACACCAGAGTTCGAGGGCCAAAAACCTTAGTACAGTAAAAGCAGTTAGCATCAAAAAAGGACTTCCATCAAGTCTTAGAAATCTGAATTCTGGTGGCTGGGATGATGGTATGCTTGGTACTCAAGCTGGAGGATGAATCCCAATCCCCAGGACTAAATGAAGGGCCACTTGCACTGATGCATGACTGTAATCTCAACCCCAGGGGTGGTGGTTACAGGAGGATCCCTTAAGGAGCCTCAAAATTGTTATGGCCAACCGAGCAGACACCTGACATTGGCCTCCATATGTACATACATAAACATGTACACACACACACACACACTTTACTTGATGGAAACTTCTGAAAGACTGAGTTGTTTCTTCAGTATGACTTTCTCTTTCCCTTCCTGTAGTACATCTCTTGGTTCTAACAATGGAAGAGCCACAAAATACCCTTCCCAATGTCAATTAAGTGAAAGCACTTGTATGCTTCTAAGTCTGGACGATACCCACAAACTACTCAAATAATAGGACAATACTGCCGGGCGGTGGTGGCGCACGCCTTTAATCCCAGCACTTGGGAGGCAGAGACAGGCGGATTTCTGAGTTCGAGGCCAGCCTGGTCTACAGAGTGAGTTCCAGGACAGCCAGGACTATGCAGAGAAACCCTGTCTCGAAAAACCAAAAAAAAAAAAAAAAAAATAGGACAATACTTTTTTGTGTAATTTGCATAATGCTAGATTTACTGGGCTTTTTGTTTACTGATTTCTTCTTTTCCATTAGATAATGTAGGTGTTGTAAACGCAGCTTCTTTGTAGATCTTAAGAACCACTGAGCCCTTTCTTCTTTCAAGTCAGGTTAGGAATCCCGAACGACTGTAATTTGTCAAAGGAGTTGTTTTTGCAGCTCACCTATAGCTGGTAGCCCACCTCTCTGAATTGGTTGACTTTCTGTCTCCTCTCCTTTTTATTGTGTACTTATCTGTTTGGGAGTGGAGGCATGACGTGGTACATATGTTGAGATTAGAAGACAACTTTTGAAGGGTTGGTTATCTCCTGTTACTCGGGTTCTGGAAACAGAACTCAGGCCATCAGCCTTAGAGGCAAGTTCCCTTATCAACTGACCCTCCTCAATGGCCCTTAAGTGTTTATTATCTTGTGTCCTGGCTGATTTTACGTCAACTTGGCCCAAGCTAGCATCATCAGAGCGAAAGGAGCCTTGACAAAAAGCTTCCATGAGAACCAGCTATGAGACAGTTTCTAAATTAGTGATCAATGAGGGAAGGCCTAGCTGATGGTGGGTGGTGCCAACCCTGGGCTGGCAGAGCTGGGTTTTGTAAGAAAGCAGGCTGAGCAAGCCATGGGAAGCAACCCAGTTAGCAGCACTTCTCCATGGCCTCTGCCTAAGTTCCTGCCTCCAATTTCCAGCCCTGCTTCAGTTCTTGTCCTGACTACCTTCACTGATGAACAGTAATGTCAAAGTGAAAGCTAGACAAACCCTTTCCTCCCCAATTTGCCTTTTTTAGTCATGGTGTTCCATTGCAGCAATAGAAATCCTAAGACATCTTGCATATGTGTGTATATGAGTGTACATGTCACGATACCCCTGTGGAGGCCAAACGACAAATTTGTGGGGTCAGGTATCTCTTTCCATGTTTTTCATGGGTTCTGGGAATTGAACTCATGTTGCCTGGCATGCATGGTATGTTCAGCAGCTGAGCCATCTCACCCGCCCTTTCTATAGAAATGTTAAGTAATGCATTCATAGGAAACCAAGATGCATACAGGATTCCTCTATTTCTAACCCAAATGTTTAATTTCTAGCTTCAGTCAGTATAATGTACAGGTGTAATTTCTGAGTGTCTTTTACATAGCTCTACTGTATACTCTTTGCCACTGTCAGCCATAGTAATCACTTCCTTTATCTTTAGCCCTTGGACTGTCGCAGGATGTTGCAGGTGCAACTTTCATGGCAGCAGGTAGCTCCGCCCCTGAACTAGTTACCGCCTTCTTGGGTAAATATTGTTCCTTTGACTTGCTGCTTATTTGGTGTGGTTTTAGTCTCAAGTCAGCTTTAACTTAGCTACTACTATCTTGTTCCCAGGTGTATTTATCACAAAGGGAGATATTGGTATCAGCACCATACTAGGATCTGCAATTTACAATCTCCTTGGCATCTGTGCTGCCTGTGGCCTCCTATCCAACATGGTAAGAAAGCTATTCAATAAGATGTATTTTCTTGACAAATTCTAAGCCTGCCTGAGATGAACAATATGACACTGGAATTGCGTTCAGTCAAATTTAATAGCCACATTAAAAAAAACACATTTACTCAATTGACTTAATCCACAAATATCTCTTAATCAAGTTTATAAAAGTCAGTACAGGTTTATATACAATTTCTCTTTAAAATTTTTTTCTATACATAATATGTAAACTTAATATTTTACCACAAATATACGTGATTTCAGTATTATACTATACACTGTTCTTGAATGACTTACACTGTAATGCATACAGTAAATCAAACCACTGTTTCCCAGGTTTCAACACTCTCCTGCTGGCCCCTGTTCCGAGACTGTGCAGTGTATGCAGTTAGTGTAGCAGCAGTTTTTGGCATAATATTTGACAACCGAGTTTACTGGTAAGCTTTAAGTAACGGTCACTCATGTAAAACATAATTACAGAGCTTTTGAAGTCTGAGGGCTTAATAGTGTAGTTTCTCAAAACCTTCCCTTCAACAGCTGCTCCAGTCTCAGCTGATCCCTTCACAACTGCTGGTGGCTGCGTTTCTCTACCGTCCCTTTACTTGTTAGCATCTCTCCTGGTCACTGGAGACAGCCAACTCTTCCTTTTCCATGGTCTCCATGCTCACAACCTTCCCAACTGCTGGTGTCACTTACAGCTCCAACTGTGGGCACTCTCTTCTATTAGGCTGTTACTGACCTGGCCTTGGTTAGCAAGGCCCACAGTAATAAAAGCTTGGAGAACAGCAGAAGCCCCTGCACTCCTGCAGCGTCTCCCATTCTCCCAGAACAGAAGGAAGAACCCAGAATGATTCTGTGTCACCATCAAAAAAGCTTGCTGCTTTTTCATAATCTCTGTACCTAACAGGCCCAAGAAAATTAAAAAAGCAGCAAACTTGGTGGAAACACCAAAACTTTGGAAAGACATAAACTTACCAAACAGGCGCTCTTACCTCCTGTCAGTGGTTCTAACCTTCCTACTGCTGCAACCCTTAATACAGTCCCTCATGTTGTGGTGACCCACAACCATAAAATTATTTTTGTTGTTACTTCATAACTGTAAATTGCTACTGTTATGATCATCGTGCAAACATCTGATACGCAGATGGCCTTAGGCAAGCCCTGTCATAGGGCCATTCAAGCTCCAAAGGGTGGTGACTCACAGGCTGACAATTGTCCTAGGTGTCCTATGCCAAATACCATAAAATAAATATAAAATATATGGCTACATGTGTATGTGTCCAGAGAACCCAAACAAGGAGAAAACAAGATAAATTAAATCAGGCTGCTAGTATAGCAAAGAACCCCGGAATTCAGCTGTCACTTGTAAGCGGCAGGAACCAAGGAAATCAGGAACTCTTTTTTCTTTCTTTTTGAGTTGCAGCAGAGAAGTGATTCTCTGCTATGAAATAAAATAACAATATTAATGTGATAAAATTAGCTAATATACAGTAAAATGGGAAACCAAAGCATAGACAATTCTTGGTGCTGTATGATGGAATTTCACTTGAGAATATTTTTTATTTCTTATTAATATAAACCAAATTAAACTACAATCAAATCATCAAAAAGGGACCAAGCATAGTAGTACATATCTGAAACCCCCAAAACTCAAGTGGAAGAGGTAGGAGGATGATGAGTTTGAGTACTTGAGGCCAATCCAGGGTGCAGCGTTCAAAGCCAGTCTGGGCTTTACAGTCAGACCTCAAAAGCCAACAATACCCCACACCTCCAACTTTCTTCTAAATCTCTGTAGAGCAAATTGCAAAGTTCCAGCCAAAATCTAACATAGTCTAAGTATTTTACACAAAGTTTCTGGACCAAAAAATCTAAAAGACAGTATATTATTTTCTAATTATTAAATAGTTGGGAAATGTAGTATGTTGAATAAATTAAAAAATATCCATTAATTAGTTTTAAACTCTCCAACTATTTTCAAGGCATTTTTATGCCTAGTACTTGAATCTATAAAGTCAGACAATGAATTTTATATTACTTTTTAAAGAGTTGGGTTTTTATGAGTTTGTAACAATACTATAACCAAGACTGGGTAGATAAAAGTATTTAAGAGTGGTTCCTTGAATTTTCTACTGTTGCTTTTGTTAGAAAATATTGTTTAAAAATTATTCTAGATAATTACACACCAATTTCTCCTATGTGTAGGTATGAGGGAAGCGTACTGCTGCTCATCTATGGACTGTATGTTCTGCTGCTGGGTTTTGACACAAGGATCAGCCGACTGGTCATGAGAACATGCAGTCCCTGCTGTCCCTGCCTTGCCAAGGCTATGGAGGAGAGACAGGAACGGCAAACACTGCTGGGGTGGGAGCATGAGAGCCAGCTCTCCACTCGTCGCCAGTCAAGGACAGACAGTGGAATATTTCAGGAAGATTCTGGTTACTCCCAGCTTTCTCTAAGTTTGCATGGTCTCGGTCAGGTTTCTGAAGGTAACATCTACACCCTGCCACTGTTCCATCTAACCACAGAAAACCCTGGCTTCTCATTTCGAGTCAGTAATTAGCACATGCTTACACAACACACTATGGAGTCAGAGATGATGAACTGCAAGTAAGTCCTAGCCTTTAGGGAGCTCCCAATAAATATTTTTTGTAAATCAGCTAGAAGTGTAGAGGAAGGGGAACACACATAGACGTGGAGCCAGAAGCCAGCCCTGGATGCTGTTCCTCATTTTTTTGAGACTTCACATCATTTTTGAGACCAGAGTCATTCGATGAACCTGTAGCTCACTGATTAGGCTAGACTAGCTGGCCAGTGAGCTCTAGGGATCTGTCTGTTTCTGCCTTCCTACTGCACTGGGATTATACATGTGGGCTGCCATGCTTTTTTACGTGGGTGTTGGGGATCTGATCTCAGACTCTTATGCCTGTACACCAAGCACTTTACCCACTGAACCATTTCTCAGACCCAGACTCTGAAATCAGTGAAAATTTCTATGTGTAAGCACCATAAACAAACATAAACTGCTAACACCATGGTTAATGCAGTAGGCAGATTGAAAACTTTGATGATACTCGGATGGGAGATGCACATGGAGAAAGGAGCATTTGAATTGGGCCCCATGGGACAGGAAAAGGCTTTAACTCAGTAATCTGATATTGTCGTCAGGAAGCAACAACTGACACTTTTATTGCATATATGATGCAGGGGTGTAGGCATGCTCTATGGAGTGAGGCCTGCTCACATGCTTGCAGACAGAGCTGACACATGCAAGTGAAGCAGCAGAGGAGCAGGTTGACAGGAAGTGCAAGAGTTGTGCAAAACACCGTAAGGGAACAGGCAACATTTATGAGAGACAGTCAGAGCTGCACTTTAGGCTCTTTACCGTCACTCAATGTTCACAGAAGACTGAACTACGATGACACAGCAAATGAACAAAACAGAAAAGGGAGTGGGGATGAATTATGAGACACAGTAGAAGAAACATCACCAACTATGGCAGCAGGAGAATCATGCCAAGCCAGAGAAGGAGCAGAGACAAAGCTGGAGCTTGGATTTTTACTGGCTAAGAAAAAAAGAACATCTTTGTAACAACTGTCAAACAAAGGAAAGGGGATGGTTCAGAGGAACAAAATGGGAAAAAGGCAGGTGTGATTTAAACATGCTGTGTGAAGCCGACCATGAGCTTGGTATGCTCAATACAATCTCATTCCCGAATAGAAAAGCTTTTATAAAAGTGATTTCATGCCGGGCAGTGGTGGCGCACGCCTTTAATCCCAGCACTTGGGAGGCAGAGGCAGGTGGATTTCTGAGTTCGAGGCCAGCCTGGTCTACAGAGTGAGTTCCAGGACAGCCAGGACTACACAGAGAGACCCTGTCTCGAAAAACCAAAAAGTGATTTCATTTTCAGTTAAGTGATTGAGAAGGAAGCTTCTAATATATTTCTTTAAAAATCTGACACGTGATATTTATTTTTCCAAAACATACTTTGTAGTCTTTAAAACTGAGGAGATTTAAAACAACTACAAAAACTCCAAAGAACTAGTCAAAATGGTCATGTTAAAATCTGTCTCTAAATTAATGGTGCATTGTCTGAGTCTTGGTAAGCTTTTATGAGTTATAATATTTGTGATTTGATCCAACCTACACATGATCAACTATATACATTAGTGTACAGCCCAGTCCCACTTGTATCTAATTTACTCAACATCCTAGTCCCCAGAGCACACACCCTGGATGCTAAGCCCACCTTTCTCTAGACTGCTTCTAGCAACTGTGAAGCCTGAATGTAGTAAATGATGAGGCACAGGGAGCATTAGACGGAACACTTCCGAAGCATGCATCAGTACACAACAAAGCATAGCACCATCAGTTCTGGGAAAGGGATGGGGAGTGAACTAGCTGGAGGAGAAAGCAAGTGACCCAAAAGCATGAAGTCCCTAATGATCCCAAGGTGCAGTGAAGTAAGTATGTCCCTACTTCCTACTCTGTGAACGCTGTCACCAGCATATTCAGCAAACAGTTCAAGACATTTGATTCAAGCAGTCAGTTAAAGGATGCTGAGTCTCACAGCTTATACTGTATGCCTAGTTTTAGTTAAGTTTCTTCTGACCAGCAGTAACAGTAATGAAGTATTCAAATATGGTCATATTCTAGACCAGTGCTTCTCAGTCTTCCTAATGCTGCAACCTTTTGATATAGTTCCTTGTATTATGGTAGCTTCCAATCATAAAATTATTTTCATTGATACTACATGTATCTGTAATTTTGCTGTTACAAATGATAATGTAAATATCTGTGATTTCTCATGGTCTTAGGTGACCCTTGTGAAATGGTTGTTCAAAACCAAAGGGGTTAAGACCCACAGGTTAAGACTACTGTTCTAGATAGTCTTTTAAAAAATATACGCATTCCCTTATATCAAAATAGCCTTCTAAACGGCCTTCTAATATAACTATGTTTGAGAAAACTCAAAATGTTAAACTTTCCCACTACAGATCCACCAAGTGTTTTCAGCATGCCAGAAGCAGATTTAAGAAGAATTTTTTGGGTTCTCTCTCTTCCTGTTATTACATTACTTGCTCTGACAACACCAGACTGCAGGAGAAAGTTTTGGAAAAATTACTTTGTGATAACCTTTTTCATGTCTGCACTATGGATATCTATATTCACATACATCCTAGTTTGGATGGTCACAGTAACAGGTATGGAATTTAAGTATAATAGCACAAGAAAATTATTTCATGTAAGAACAAATTGGAAGTATTCATTTAAAGTAGTCTTGGGAGCATACTTTTTTTTTTTCAACAAGACTAAAAACTACTTACAAACTATGAAAACTTTAACATCACAACCAACATACCACAAGCTCATTCATGTTTTTGTGAGTTACATACCAAAAGCATTTCTTATGTATGCTATGACACAGCCTGGGGTATAATTCATAGGATATGTTTATAATTACACAGGGCTCATGAGAATTCTTCATAAAAGTGAATTTTAATCCACTGTAGAATGTAGAGAAAGAAATTGACTGGGGTCTGGGGTAGGCAGTGGGTGCTTGCTACTTGACTACATGGTGTTTTCTTTTGCTTTAAATATGGTAACACAAATACAATGTAGATGACTAAATGAGAATCAAAGTATTGTTTTTATGTTTCTAGCATCTTCCAGAGTAAGTTTTACCACTTACTTGTAATATGCCCATTATCATTATGCCAAATCATCCAACCTGACTGTATCAGTGAAGCGTCACTGACCACAGCTAGGCCCAGACATCTACTAACATATATGCACGCTGTCTCTATACTGCTGAGACTAAAGAATTGTAACAGAAATTCAAACTACCTTCTCCAAACTGGCTGGCTCGACTTCTCCTAGATAACTAACTTTATTATAACTGTATGATAACAAACAAACAAAGCAAAATAGTTTTCTTTTTCATGAAGAAGGTAAGATGTCCAGACAGCTCTGTTCTCACTCTGAACTATGGTTTCCATCACAGCAGTAAGACAGCAGTTTCATGTCCCCACCCCTTTTAAGTGCCCTCTGGTTTTATTTCTCAGAATAAACCCATTTCTGCTATGAATTTGACACAAATATTAAAAAATTGGTGCCATATGTTAGATTCAGGCAGGAAAGAACAAGGTCCTGTCTAACCTCAGATACTTCCCTTAAAACAAACAAAAAACAGTAAGCCAACTAGCATTTCACACTTCAACATTTTAATCAATAACTGTAAGGTGCTTAATTACTCTAAGTAACTTGTAGAAAAGAGAAAATGCAACAGTCCAAAAGAGGCAACAGTGACACACACAGCTTCCTCTGAATGCCAACTACAAGGCTTTTTTCTGCTAGAACTTTGGCTACTCGGTATCTTCAGCTATCTGACATTGAAAAACTGTGCTAACCTGGTTATCCCAACTATCAACCTGTTTCAAATGCTTTGCCATCTAAAAACCACATAAGCATGTCTTGGTTCAAATACCTAAACATACCTAAATATTTTTTCTGAATAGAGAAGTATTTTAGCTGCCTTCAGAAAAATGGTTCATCTAAGATTTGAGATTGGTAACCTGTAGTCTCTGTGCCTGTTACAGGGGAAACTCTAGGAATCCCAGACACAGTGATGGGCCTTACTTTGTTGGCAGCAGGGACAAGCATACCAGATACAGTTGCAAGTGTGTTAGTTGCAAGAAAAGGTAAGACTGGAGGTCTTTTACCAAAAAGCAAGTCAAAGTAAACGAAATAATACTTCCTCACTAATATACTTTAAGTAAAAAAGAAGTGACTCGGGAAGCATTTAGTTTTTATAGCAGGTTAATTCGACCAACCTAATCCCCCTCCAGACCATTTACCTGAAATGTGCATCAGATAGTAATTCATTGTCAAATGAGAATAAAAAGCAACAAGTAAGCTGCATACCTTATTAAAAATGGTTTAATAAATAAAGACAATTATTAAATAAATGTTAAGACTTTAAAATACTAACCCAAGGAAATACAAATTTAATAAGACTCTGGCTCTAACAATAACAGTTTTCTAAAACTAACCAACAAAAAGTATCCAGTGTTTTTCTTATGAAGATTATTAATAAAATATAGTATTGATGTGTACATTTTAACAACATGCTATTCTTCTGCAGGTAAAGGAGACATGGCTATATCTAACATCGTGGGATCCAATGTATTTGATATGCTATGCCTAGGTCTTCCCTGGTTTATTAAGACTGCATTTACGAATGCATCTGCTCCTATAGAAGTGAATAGCAAGGGACTCACTTATATAACAATCTCTCTCAACATTTCAATTATTTTTTTGTTCTTAGCAGTTCATTTTAATGGCTGGAAACTAGACCGAAAGTTGGGGGTGGTCTGCCTAGTGTTATACTTAGGACTTGCTACTTTATCAGTTCTATATGAACTTGGAATTATTGGAAATAACAGAATAAGGGGTTGCGGAGTTTGATATTTTTAATAGTGTTATGTGGAAAAGATGGAATGATAGAGGGGCAAAAAGAAAAAAATTCATGTCTTCATTTAGGTCAAATAAAAAACATCTTCAACTTTAGAGTGTAACACTTAATTACTATTCTTTATAAGCAGAGAAAAGTAATTTAAACCAAACCAAAATCACATCCTAATTTGTCTGAGCCCTTTCTTTCCTTTAACAATTACATACAAAGCAGAGATTTTAAAAGAAAAAAAAAAGTATGTTAACTTACAATAAGGTTGAGGAAACTAGAACAGACAAACTATACTACTGAAAATAACAAAATGGCTTATTTCATTAAAAATGGTATGTCCATTCACTGAAACTGAATGATCAGACGTGCTGTCTTCAGAAACTCAAACTTGAGAGAACGAAAATCACAGTATATTTTTCAACATTATACTGTTAAAAGCTGGTGGGAGTTTTAAAAGTTCATTTTTACAGCATTTGTAAGCATACAACATTACTAAAAAATGACTTTTACTAGGAGAGTCAATAAACAGGTAAGGGAATGTTCCAACCATGCTTGAAATTATGCATTACGGTCCAAGCGCACATCGATTTCCCTGCCGCTGATCTTGATGCCGTTCATTATTCTGCAGGCCTTTTCAGCTGACTCTGCAGATTCAAACCTGACTGTCCCACAGCCTTTTGACTTGCCATTCTCCATCTTTATTTCTGCAAACATTACATGACCTGGAAAAGGAGAGTTATACAATTACTAGTCCATTTAAATGGGTTCCATTTCACTAGACAAGTTTTGTGAACTCTTCACAGCAATGGAGAGAGAGAAATCACAGGTAATTTGGTTAAACACATTAACAATATAAAATGAATATGAGCATTATCATTTTACAGTCTGAATACAATTCCTATATAATGACTATATACACATACGTATTGTATTAGCTCACATATAACTGGAATTGGACATTGAATTTAGTTTTAAATCCCCAGTTTCTTAAGTAGATGTTATAGCAATAAGGCTGGCTAGCATAAATGCCAACAACTCACCATGACCCCTGACAAGATTACACCTTTAAACAAAATTATACAGTAGCTCACTGTCCAATCTCCTGAATCTTTCTCCCTTCTCTTTTTATCTTCACTTCTCTTTGTACCTCATGAGAGCAACTATCCATAAATATAGTTTCCATCAGTTCATAAAAGGGTCCACCAATTCAACTTTTCAAATACTGTGACAATTTGGATTCAAAATCCTAAGGACAGCATCAAATAAGGAAATGGTTATATATAAAATGACAGATTTAAAACAGTAAGGATAAAAACAATGCTGTTAAAGGGATATCTCGGATAAGTCTTAAGAGCCATCAGTTAAACAAGAGGACTACTGAGAAAACAGGAGGGAGTAAGTAGTAATCACATGTAAACGAGTAAGGCAGACTAGTAAGCCTCCAGCTCAGGCCAACTGAGACCCACTGTGACCCAGTCCAGATGGTGGTAACCTAGGTACAGCCTACTTACGGATACTCTCCCCATGCAGATGCACCTGTCATCAAATCAGGCTAGACTCTGAATATTACAGAAGCTAGAGTACTGTGCTAGTTTTTAATCTGTCAACCAAACCAGACAGACACCTTTAGTTTTACAAAGGCACAAAAGGGGAGAAGAAAGACAAAAGTAAAAAGTGAGGGTCTGTCAAGAAGTGAAGCTCTTTCCAGAGGAAAGAAATTGATATTACTCCTAATGAATAAGCAAGGATATTTTGCTTTTAAGGGCTTGAGCTGAATGACCTCTTATTTGTAACACTCTACCTTACTTTTTCTAATCCACCTTCTATTGCATTACTTCTCAAAGCCAGCTGATAATTCTTCACCTTCTCAACACATTAAATACTCAAAGACAATGTCATGCTGATTCAAAACCACAACTTATAAAGCAAAACAGAAAATTGTTAAGTATTTCCCTAAGAGTTTTAAAACAGACTAATCCCAGAAAAATTATATAATGATTAAAGTAATTGAAATAATATTTACTCTACAACTAGTAAAATAGAAAATACAGAAAAAATATCTATTTTCTAGTAGGGAGGGGATCACAGAATGATATTGAGATATATATGCTAAAAGAGACATTAATATTAATAGTTGTCTTGGTCAGGGTTACTATTGCTATGATGAAACATATGACCAAAAGAATGTCGAAAAGAAAAAGATTTTCAGTTTACTCTTCCACATCACAGTTCATCATCAAAGAAAAGTCAGGATAAGAACTCAGAGAGAGCAGGGACCTGGAGGCAGGAGTGTTGCAGAGGCCATGGAGGAGTGCTGACTTATTCCTCATGGCTTGCACAACCTGCTTTCTTAGAGAACCAGGATCACCAGCTCAGGAATGGCATCACCCACAATGGACACATCAACGACTAATTAAGAAAACGCCCAACAGGTTTGCCTAGGGCCAGATCTTACGGAGGAATTTTTCAACTGAGGCTCCCTCCCCTCAAGGTAATTCTAGCTTGTCAAGTTGACATAAAATGAGCCAGTAGAGTGGCAGACAGTGCAATATTCAAAATCCTTCAGCATATAAGGAACTGGTACTCAGAAAGGAGCACTTCCGTTACGGTGGCACTTGCAGAGACATCCAAGGACTGTGGAGAATTGTACAAGCTTTGAAGCTGGAGGTTCTTCTCTTATTCTTTACCTAAAAATTTAGGTTTTTCTAAGTTTCACAGAATAGGGTTATAAGCAACAATGGGGTTTATGTGAGCAAGTATCTTGAAAACATGTTACCTTCTCTTGAATAAACCATCTTTTAATCTTTCAGACAAGATTCTCTTTCCATTTTCCAACTAAACTGTCCCTGTTGGTTAAGGGAATGACCACTCAGGTATGCAGACTCCTAACCTCACAATGATCTCATGGTCTACTTGATAAGACCTCTTTGCTAAGACTCACGAGACTTCTCAGTTTGGATACTTACACTATAGAGATCAGACTACAGACATGTTTTCATGGTTAGACCCCAAGATACCCAAGTAAAACAGATGCACAAAGAATCCTAAGTCACTGGCTAGCCTGGTTCTTTCCCAGACTTGGGAGCTAAGCCCAGGCCTTCACATACCAGGCAAGGGCGTTTAATGCTGAGCCACATCACATCCTCAACTTTTGGGTTTGTTTAGATTTTTTTTAAATCTTTTTTAAGGCAGAAGTGTCACTAAGTTGCCCAGGGTGACCTGTAATTTATTGTATAACCCAAACAGTCCTCCCTCCTCGGGCATTCTAAGCACTCAGACTACAGGCACTTACCACTACACTAAGGTAAACTCCACATTTCCCAACCATACGAAAACGGAAATAAACATATTTTCTTTCTAAAATAAATAATTTCTGAGGGAAAGTCTCAGTTAAAATCAATCTACCTAATGTTTTACATGCTGAGGGTGACTTCAAATGGCCTACGGTCTTGCAGGATTACAAGGAAATGAAAACAAGACTGACATTTCAGCAACTGTATAGGACTAAGCTCTGCTATAAGAAGGAGAATCTCAAATTAGACACACTGCTGTCACACAGAACAAGCATGAGAACTACTTAACACACAATTAAAGAATGCTTTCCAATTTATTAAGTCCAGGTTATTACTTTTGGAAATGGTATATATTTGAGTATATTTGAGGATATTCTGACACCGACAACAACTAAAAATAAGCTAAACTAATACATTTATAAATAAATAATAAAATTTCCTGCCTGAATAAAGCTATGAGATTACTATCCAGAGTTCAATGTTGCCTTCTTGGGGCTTATTAAAATCTAGAACTTAGAAACAGAAATTTTCTCGATTATTCTTCATCTTTAAGGAGATTTGAAAGTATCTTTTCTGAACTATAAAGATTGATAAGATTGTGACTGTTCTACCAAGACCGTTCACTACATGCATTTTATTAGCAAGGCATCTACCAGTAAGTTACTTCCTGACAGATATTGTGTCTAAAGTACCACTAGATTCTTCCTCAGCAAGAACATTTATTTAGCTAACTTGAACTCAGGAAAACAAAACAGCACATAAATCAAACAAAAACACCTGCCTTTATGGCTAAAGAGGTCATTACTTGCTTGCGTCAGATTAAAACAATACTATATTAGCCGGGCGGTGGTGGCGCACGCCTTTAATCCCAGCACTTGGGAGGCAGAGGCAGGCGGATTTCTGAGTTCGAGGCCAGCCTGGTCTACAGAGTGAGTTCCAGGACAGCCAGGGCTACACAGAGAAACCCTGTCTCAAAAAAAAAAAAAAAAACCAAAAAAAAAAAAAAAAAAAAAAAAACAATACTATATTAAAACAGAAAAACTCTAGGATTCATACACAGTCTGCTATGGCAGGAAACTATTGGTTCATTTCAAGCATGTCCGATAATGCTCTGGTGATAATAAAGATTTAATTCTGCATTACTGCAACTTACTTTCTTTGCCATCAATGTTAACTCAGGGTTTAACAAAATGGGATGATACGGAGTTATAGAAATACAGTACTAAATATAAAATTGAATATAACAGATTTGAAAGTAAAAACAAAACAAAATAACAAAACAAACTCATTGACCTTTTAACTGTTGGTGTATTGGCTGGTTTTGAATGTCAACTTGACTCAAGTTAAGAGTCATCAGAGAGGAAGGAGCCTCAGTTGAGAAAATGTCTCCATAAGATGCAGCTGTAAGATGTTTTCTCAATTAATGATCAATGTGGGAGGGCCCAGCCTATGGTGGGCAGTGCCAACCCTGAGCTGGTGGTCCTGAGTTCTGTAAGAAAGCAGGCTGAGCAAGGCATGGGAAGCAAACCAGTAAGCAGTACCCCTCCATGACTTCTGCATCAGTTCGTGTCTCCAGAATCCTGGCCCATTTGAGTTCCTTTCCTGACTTCCTCCAATAATGAACAGCAATATGGAAGTATAAGCCAAATAAGCCCTGTTCTCTCCTACTTGCTTTTTGGTCATCTCATTACAGCAACAGAAACCCTACGACAATCAGTTGATTCAAAGGGGGAAGAATAGAAGAAAAGCGTGAGTCCATTTTCATTTAGCTACTACTTTTAAATGCAGACTTGGATACTTTCTCTTCTCACAAAGCACCTTCCCATTACTACCATCTGTCAATGCTACCTCAGCCCTAGCTTTGGCTGTTAAGTGTTGCTCCTACTGACCTCAAAAGAGCATTCCTTAAAGGATGTATGTACACACACTCCACAGGCCCCCAACACCTTTCCAAACAACTGCCGACTCACTTGCTTTTGACTAGGTTTTCATCAGAACTGACTCTTCCTAAAATTTGAAATTAATGTAAAATAAAAGAGCCATAAAAGAACACCCAGACATAGTCACAGTGTAGCGTCTTTGAAAACTTCAGTATTTGGTTTTGTTCACCTCCAAAGGTCCAGCAGACTGCCAAAAACGCAGTGATCATAGACTTAGAGAAAATAAATAACGGAATGAGGTTTAATCAGAGTATTTGTGAACATATTATAACTCTTTTAGATACACAGATAATAAAAGGTACTAGCTTAAACAGGTAAGAATTACCCTAAAGAGCCTCAATCTGTGGTTAAAGAAAATTAGTAAATTATTATAATAAAAGCTAAAATAAATACAGATATAAAGAAACTAATCCTGTAGATAAAACTATTCCTGAGAGGAACCCACAAAGGCTTTTTATTTCCTTCATTATTTTTCCCTTAAGTACTTGGAACTGAACCTAGAGACTCACAAATGATAGGCAAGCACCCTACCACTAAGCAATTCCATCTCTTGTAGTTCTGTATAACTTCTTTTGATTTTTTTTAATTTTTATTGAAAACAGATTCCTCTCTAATACATCCCAACTACAGTTTCCTCTCCCTCCACTCCCCCACCTCCCTGCTGCTCCTGCAGATCTACTCTCCCTCCATTTCCTCTTCAGAAACAGCAGTCCTCCAAGAGGCGACAGCCAAAAAAAGGACAAAACAAGATACAGTAAGGCAAGGCAAAAGCCCTCATATCAAGGCAACTCTAAAGGAAGAAGATTCCCAAAAGCAGGCAAAAGAGCCAGGGATACAAATGTTCCCACTGTTAGGAGTCCCACAAAACACCAAACTAACAGCCATAATCTGGTGCAGAACATACAGACCCCAGGACTGCTATTTCACTTCTGGAGCCCATGTGAAGAGCCTTGTTAGTGGACTCAGTGGGCCATATGTCTTCCCAGTGTCCTCTACCCTCTCTTGGCTTTTATTTTTATGTTGAGACAGTCTCATTAAATTGTCCAAGCTGGTTTTGAATTGATTCTGTGGCCCAGACAGGCCTTGAACTTGGGGAATCCTGCCTCAGTCTCCCACCAACTAGCTAGAATTACAGGCTAGACCACCAGCCTCAGCTAGGAAAGTTATTATTATTGTAGAAGAACACTAAAGTTATCTATTATTTTATGCCTCTAAAAATACTCAATATGTTACGGATGGTGGTGCACAACTTTAATTCAGCACTATGGAGGCAGGTAGTTTTTCACTCTCTGTGAACTGTAAGAGGCCAAGTGTACCACTTTCAGCCGTCCTCCAGCATAACGTGCTGTATGTGTGCCTTTCTACTGTGATTTTAGGCTGGGATTTTATGTAATAGAAGGAAAACTGTTGCTCTGTGCTGACCATACAATTCCCTTATTTTCATTCTCTCTCTCCCCCTCCTCCCTCCGTTTCAAACACACACACACATACACAGAGGAGGAGGAGGAGCTTTACCAATTAAGATATTTAAAAAATGAGCATGGTACAGAAAAGGCTTTATTTGAAATTAATAAACCAGCCAATATACAAACCTAAGGAAACATTAAGATTTGTAGCTAATCTCGTGATAGTGAAGAAAAGTTTCCAAAGCACTAGAAGAGCCACCAAAACATATCTGTGTCTAACAGAGTCCTATGCTACTAGCTTAAGGTTTCTATGGTGTGCAAGCAATACAGTATACAGAATGGCTCTCCTATCAACTCTGCATCAGCAAGGAAGTAAATAGGCCATTTATTTACTTTTGTTTCTCGTAGGAAAAAAAGCCACCAATGCAAAACCATCAACTTCTTTAATATCTGGTAATAAAAAAAAGAATGTTTTATAAGTGATGACAGGTTTCCCTGTTGAGTGAATTTGTACTAAGTAAGCCCTGTTGTTTGTTCTAATCTACCAGACAGCAAAACTATTACTCATCTGAGGTTGAATCAGACAAGACCATGACTGGGATAAGCCAAGATCTCAACATGGTATTTCAAAGTTTAAAAAAATCAAAATTTCCCCATAAGAAATATCAGCATAATCTGCAGCTACTGGTATACTTACCACATTGGCTGAATTTCTCTTTTAATTTCTGCCAAGTCAAGTCAAAAGGAAGCTAAAATGAGAAAACAATTAGTAACACATGTTATATATAATATTTTTATTTTCATATACATGGAAATAATAAAATAATAATAAATTATTTCATATGGAGAGAGAAAAAGATAGAAATAGAACTTTAACTTTGCAATACATTTATTCACTTACATTTCTAACAAATATCTGGTTGCCTTTGGAGCCTAATCTGTCTCTCATTCCACTTCCCATGGGACCAGATAAAAACCCTCGGTCTACGTCAATGCTCCTTTCCAATATGGCTCCGATGCCTGGCCCCATCCTGTCAAAGCTGGAGCTCATGCGGTCCAGGCCCATGCCCATGCCTCCCGTCACAGTGCTCATGCCACTCATGCTGCCGCCTGCAGTGCCAACAAGGGCAGGAGTCGGGAGTTTCAAGTTTTAAAAACAAAACAAAAATAGCAAAAGGAAAGACAAGAGAGGAAGGAATAAAGAATAATCAGTTTTGAAAATGGAGAGAAAAATTCATTTCTATAACAAAATTATTTTCATACCGAAAATAAAACAATAGGTTTTGGTATACATTTAGTTACTTGAGAAAACTTAACTTTAGTCACGGTATAATTACATGTGCCTCTATAAAATAATATTCTAATAAGAAAACACATATTTGAACCTTCCAATCACTTTCATATTACAATAGCTTTTAATTCTTACATTTTGCAATAGTAAATACAGTAACTGTTGAAACCAAGGCCCAGAGATGAATGTATCATCACACTCTAGCACACCGTCCTCTCACCATGCTCCCGAGCTTCGTCCTCTCCTTGCTCACCTTTTACCTCAGTATGTGAAGCTCTGTTTCCCACACAACTTCAATTCTGATATCGAATTCAACTTCAGTAATCAGACAATTACTCTCATCTCATTCTCCTCACTAATATTCCTACATGAATATTGAAAAGTACTAAGACTTGCCAGCTGGCTCTCTGTTACTGACAGTAACGGGGAAACAGAGATGTAAACACTGAGATAAAAGGAAAGGTGAGGACGATACTGAGGAAAATGAACAAACACTGCAGAATGGAGGGCAGAGCAGGAAATAAAAAGAGAAGCACATGAAAAGCAAATGTATCCAGTGGACAGGATTTCAGAATTCACACTTAGTAAGCTGACTTCCTGTTTCCTAAAATTTCACCACCCAAAGGAAGCCAGTAAGGTATGGAGATTTCACAGACACCGCCAAGTCAGCAACACCTGACACAAACTCAGTCTCCTGTGCAGACTTTCTGTGAGGTTTACCATGTGGGAGCAGGGGCTGATGGGAGTATTGGGCATTCTCTAGAGCTGCAACACACCCATGGTTTTGAAAGGTCTAGGAAGAGAGAAAAGCAATCATCTCTTCATTCTTATTCCTCAACTTCAGGAAGTCCCTAAAATTTGGTGTTTTGTCTCCATCTGCCAGAAGACATAAGGTGTACAGATGAAACAAACTAGTAGCTAGTAGGCAAAATAAAGCAGAATTGAGGCTGGAGTTCAAGAAATAGCAGTTTATGATATGGGTATGGAAAGATAGTTCATGGACTGGCTACTGAGTATGCATTCTTGTGTTAGTTGAGAAATATCAAAATAAACAAACAAATAAATAAATAGTTAATTTTCAAACATCAATCAAGCTATGACTCATTGAAGTTTCTCAAAATATGGTAAGACACATTAACACATAAAAGCAAACTATTACTGTACTACAATAACTACTCTTGCAAACTCCTTGCAAGCACTCATATACTATTCAGTAAATTCTATTAAAATTTAAACCTACTTATTCCAGTTCCTACTGGACCCATGTTAGAAGCTCCTATTCTTCCTGCAAACCCTCCAATCATTGCACTGCCTAAACAAGGATAAAAAGATAATAAACTAATTAATTTAAATAATGACACTTCAAAATGCCCAAAGTACTATACTCACAAATAACTAAACATAAAATTTTCTGGAAATAGACTTAAAATATTCAAGATATTGTAAAAGAGAACCATGAAATTAAAATCCCTTCTTCTAGTAACAAACTATGTAAATTATAACTTTTTAAAGATTATTTTTAACACCGAAAAGAACAGCTAAGACTATGACCTGCAAAAGGAAAAAAGTATACAACCAACCCTACCAAGTCTACCAAAGGACTCTCCAAAGCCTCGACTTAATCCAATATCACCACGTCCGAAATCTCGCTCCATGCTACTAGTCATTGCACCGCGGTATAGCTCTGAAAAGATGTACAACAAATTAACCCTTCTTCAAGCATATCAATGCATGGACAACCATTGAGGCTGTCTAAAACCACTGTCTAAGCTAAACTGAGGAGAAAAAAATCAGAAGTTACCAATTCAAAACAGTGTGTGGCATACCAACTTCATATACTCACTACACACCCCACTACCCATCCCCCTTCCTGCCATGTTTACAAGTGTTCTCTAGTGCCCATGTGCCTTCTGAAGACTTCTACAGCATCCATACCCATGTGTGTGTGTGTGTGTGTGAGGTAAGTATCTCAATATTAGGGAAAGCAAAGATAATATACCCCCTAAGTACATTCACCTACCTCCCATTCGGCCAACTCCACCAAAGCCTGCCATGCTATTCATTGCTTCCAGACCACCAAATCCAACTCCTATGAAATAGAGAATAGTTGTGAGACTTGACTGTAGCTCTGTAGATGAACAGTACATTTTGGAAATGTTAAGTCACCAGTAAGCGCTTCCTCCATTTCATGTTGAGCAGATAGTTTAACACAGCACCTTCCTTTAAGGGTGTATTAGGCTCAATGTTTGCCAACAGCCTTTAGAATATGAGCCAACGATAAACCATGACTTTTTTCTACAATTCTCAACAGTTTCTAGTTTCTTTAAAATGGCGATGAGTACATGCAGAAACAAATACTTATACATACCTCCTCCAATTCTATTCACTCCTCCAAAACCCGGACCATCCATTCCCATACCTCAAATAAAATACATAGTATGGACTTTCAGTAAATCTTATTTTGTGACTAACGAATGACATTATAGCAAAGTAAATACCATTGGTTTAGTCACAATGGAACACTAGAGAAGCAGGTACAGGGTGTATATAGAAGGATGGTTTACAGAGCTATTTCATAGTGGCTAACCAGTCACCAAACTTCAAAACAGGCCTCTGAGCACCAGAAAAGAAATTTACTGTTCACATACAACATTCAGTCAGAGAGTAACTAGAACCAGTATGTACTCTTTCAGATACAGTGATGTTACATAGAAGATTTAGAGATTAAGACTACAAAGCAAAGATGCCTTTAAACACAGCAGCTAACAGGCTGGTCAAATCAATAGCAAATAGCTTGTTTGGGAAGGGTGTGATATCCTAAAACAAATAAGGAAAAGGGGGTTGCCTTAGAATGAGAAAGATCTCCATCACTACCTTATCAATTATAAAGTTTGTATCATCCCAACAAAAAGACTATGACGCGTTTATCAGCCCATAAACTGAAATGCAATTCTCAAAGGACAGTCTGGTAACCTTTGAAGGTCAAGAGCTCAAAATAATTTCCATAACTCAATATTTCTGAATTACATGACTGCTTCCCCTCATCCTCTCATAAAAACAATGTGAATCTTTCCATAAACTACCCAATGCATGCTATCACAGCAAACCCAAATGCAGACACAGCAGTACAGCTATTTACATTAACCCAAACACTATGGGGAGATGTCAAAAACAGAATCACTCTTCTCACTCTTATTAGAAATACTTTATTTTCTTAAAAATAATACTTATGTTAATTACATGTTTCATATTATATACATTGAATATAACTTTTAGGGTTAAGATTGGCATCAGAGTTAATCATGATTTTCAAATAAATTAGTTAATTTTTACAATTTAAAGTTTTTTGTAATACAGTAGACACTGGGAAACAATCACATAAGTAAAATCATGTTAGGGTTTTCAACAAACTTGAAAGAATGAAGTTTGCTGAAATTAAAAAGTTGGAAAGCCAATTTCTAAAGATAATTAAGAGTTCAACTAGCAGGCAAATAGCTACTTCAAAGCTACCTTCCAAATGTAATACATTTAAATTGCCTATGCTATGCCATGTTGTCACCCATTTCACAGACTCTATATTCCACGATGTAGAGGCGCTATGTGGAGAATTCATCTACTTAAAGCCATGTCAGCATGCACATACTGAAGAGTTTCCTTTCACATGCCTGGCCCCAGAGGCCACTCCGACCTATATCTGCCCTCTTTTCATGTCAGCGGCTCTTACAAGGATCCTTCTCTTTTTCAGACAGAATTAACATCCTCAACATCTCTAAAACAGAGTTCTCTAAGCACTAAGACTAATAAATATAAGCTTTATTAAACAGCGAAATAGATCACTTACAAATGTTTTAAGAAAAACTTACCACTTGGACCCAAATTCCCCATTACACCAGTTATGTTGAGCTGGCTGGCACTAATAGGTTGTCCACCTGGACCAAGTCCCATTCCGATGCCTCCAAGACCACCTAAATCACAAAGAACACGTTACCAAGACTCGCATAAAACTAACTGGCACTAACTTTAAAACTATTTGCATGATTGCGATAGTCTCCTGAAAGGCTGCAGATAGCAGGGGTTCTTGTTTTCATTTAGAAAGCACCATACATAAAGACTACAGTACCATTTATGAATGAAAACCATTTGTGAAGTAGGTGCAGCTTACATTCTACTTGAAGGTACTAAGAGAGGTGTAACAACCCAACATTCCACTACAAACATGAAAACCTACCTTCAATTCTCAGAATGCACTTCTTTTTTTTTTTTTTTTAACCCAGAATTGTGTTGGACATGGGTAATCTTAGATCTGGTGTGGTAGCAGATCCCTAGGCTCATTGGCTAGCCAGTCTAGCCTACTTAGCAAGTTCTAGGCAGTGAGAAACTCATTCTAAAAACAAAAAAAGTAGATACTACCTAAAGAAAAACACCCAAGGCTCTCTTCTAGCCTCACTTCCACATCTACCTACTCCCAAGCTTGCGCGCGCATACACAAACACACACACACACACACACACGCCCCTAACAAATGCATTCCGAAAAAGTGTGAAACACAATTCTTCACGCCATATGTGTGGAACTCTCTTCTCCAGGAATGGTATGACCTTGCCATCTTAAGATCAGAACAGTTGTGATCACCCACAGGAGACACTCCCAAGATTGGGTCAACTAATATTCCTTTGTGTAATGAAGAGAACTCACAAACACAGTTATACCCCAGAGAAGTTAACTGTTGGTTTGGGAAGTGAGGGGAGGGATGATATACATGATTATTTCTTGGTGGTATTACACCTGTAAGTTGTCCATGATCCTGTAAATTACCATAATTAAATCCACCAATTCACCAAACAAGACTTGAGTGAATCATTTCTTTAGTCTGGCTGGTACCCTCTCTGGCTGAAGAAATGTATCTCGGATATCCTCATATAGTCACACAGGACATACATACCTGAAAATGAGCATCTTCCTCAGTCTGTTGAACAACTAAAATACTACTATTACATTCAAACTAGTCTAAGTAAAACTGAACAGTCAACAATTATTGACGATGTTAAGACTGAGCTTATTCAGTGTCACAGTACTTGAAGGCAGAAACAAGAAGACTGTGAGTGCAAGCCAGTCAGAGATACAGAACAAGACCAAACAACCAACACCAAGTCCATTTTTAAAATTCATTATAAGGGTCTAGAGAGATTAAGAACACTTGTTACTCTTGCAGAGGATCTGGGTTCAGTTCTCAGAACCCAAATGGCAAATTATAAGCATGTATAACTCAAGTTTGTGGATCCAATGCCCTTTTCTGGCCCCTAGACACTGTGCACACCTGAAATAAAAAAACACCCATACACATAAAAAATATCTTTTAAAAACCTACATTGAAAAATCTAATTGCCTAGCTTTATCATGACATTTATTTATTGCATTTACAAAATAAATGTTCTCATATCAGGTAAATATGAGGAAAATTTTGAGACCTTATTATCTGAACACCATCATTTACCTATGTGATTAAATTTAGATCTTATCGTCTTTAAATTCAAGTTTTTGTTTTTTTGTTTGTCCTGTTTCTTTAAGATTCTGATGCTTTTCAAATACATAAGAAAATAAGTAAATAAATAACTTTAGAAAACTTAAGTTATAACCTCTTCTAGGCATATGTCCAAAGAACTTTAAATCCTTACACATCTATCTATATATCTATATCTATAGATATAGATATAACAGTTCATTACTGCTCTATTCACTATGGAACTAAATAAAAATAAAAAAGGAACCAGACTAAATATCTACAAGAAGATGGAAAGACAATGAAAACATGCTAATATATACAATGGAGATTTATTCAGCTGCAAAGAAAAATGAAATCTGGGGAAAAACCCTGGTGGACCTGGAAAGTATAATATTCAATGTGGTGAGCCGACTCAGAAAAAAGCCTGCGTGTTTCTCCCTTATCTGTAGACCCTCCCTGACCTATAACGTATGCATGACTAAAGTAAACGAGCGTAGGGCAGGTCAAGCCCAAAAAGGCAGAAAGGAGACCAAAAAAATGGGTAATATTCGGTAATGAGGAAGGATGCAATACAGACAAAAGGACACATCAGCTTTGAAAGATGTTATAAATCTATTTTTGCCTAGTTTTCAAGATACATATGTGAATTCAACCTTCTATGCACTAAAGTTGCAAGAACCATTTCTGTACTCCCAGAGTCCAATATGGGTTAATCCTTTGAGGCCTAGTTTTCAAGATACATATGTGAATTCAACCTTCTATGCACTAAAGTTGCAAGAACCATTTCTGTACTCCCAGAGTCCAATATGGGTTAATCCCTTGAGGTAATGATTGTAGACATTGGGCTTTCTTGAAATGTCATTTACATTACCAAAATAGGAATCAGACATGACCAGTTAGAAAACAGAATGTAGTAATTAAGGCTTGAGACTGAGTAAGGATTATATTCTGTAAGTTGTTTTTAAAACAGTGTACAGACATGGTAATTTTAACCTGCACAGATTACTATCAAGTAAATGTGTTCCTATGCCTAACTGCGACCCAGACCTGACCATCACTCATGCTCATAAGTACAATCACCATCTTGTCAGTTCGAATGTCACAGTAATTATCATCTCAAACAACACTAAAAAAGAAAAGGTAAAAAATCAGAAGCATGGAAAGTGAGAAATTTCTCACTTGCAAAGTTATAGTAAAATTTGAGTAAATTAGATGAAGTAAAAAATCTGATTCTATGGTAGTAGCTCATGACTTCATTATATCTCAAGATAAAAGAAAATATGAGAATACGAATCATTTTTTAAAATGTAAAGAACGCCTAATAGAACATGTTCTTTAATTTACTATTTGAGAACTTCCCACATGTATACAAATAAATGTTAACTGGATCACTGCCCACTCCTTCCCCCGACCACTACCACAGTCCTCCACATCTCTGCCTCCCAACTTCACACACTTCTTTTTGCTTTAACTTACTAAGTCCACTTGGTATTGCATTTGTATGGGGGCAGGGACATCAACTGCAACACGACATTCTCTCGGACCTGTTTTCTGAAGAATATCAAGTTTCTCTTCCCCAGCAACCATTAGTTCCTCAGCTAAAAGTTGTGATTGCATGTGCTCCTTTGCCAATCTCACCTAAGCTGAGATTATGGCTGGCTTAACTGTACAAGTCTTGAGAACTAAAACTTATTGTTAACAGAGGCAAACACAGTCAGGATCCTCAACAAGGTGAGCCTGACCAGGCTAACTGGGAAGAGAGGAAGCTGCCTTACAAAAGGAGAAAAGACAATATTCAAATATGCATAATTGATAACTGTCCACTGTAAAAGCTCAATAAGTAGTAATGCATACTCAAACTGTAGTAAAACTGTGAACCAGGGACCAAGACTTTAAAATTAGCTCCATGAATAATAGACTACCAAAAAAGGGGTAATTCAACAAAAAGCTTATCTGAATTATGAATTAGCAACAACAGAAACCCAAGACTAAACTATTTTCAAAGTGCTAAGATAAAGTAATTTGATCTTAAATTTTCTAACAAATCAAACTATCTTAGAAGACATTTACAGAGCAGCCAAAATTAAAAGAATTTACTAACAATAAATCCTCACTGGAAAAAAATAAAAATAAAAGCTTAACAAATAGATGCTGCAAAAGAAAATGAATAGTAGCAGTTAACAAAGAAACATGATGTCTATTTGTGACATCTGACAAGTAACAGAACTCCCCGAGAGTGACAGTAGCATGTAGTTACTAGGAAAAGGGTAGAGTCAAGGAAGAGGATACAAAAATGAACTTCAAGCTTTATACATACATAATATCCAGGGTTACCACTAAAAACACACAGACAAGTATTTACAAAGTACAAAAGATGAAACTCAAAGAAAATAAAAATCCATCCAAATGAACCAATAAATGTGAAGAAATTTAATGCCTCAACTTCACATAAAAAATTGTCAAGCCAATTTTAAAAGATGTAATTGCAGCTATAACATTTACACACAGATCAAAAAGAGTAATACAAAATAGTACGAAGAAACAACACAAAATTACTATACTTAGTATTATACAAAGACTTATGGTAATTACAAAATCACCTTGTAATAAATTAATTGATTCACCAGGAAAACCATCAATTCTAATCTTGGGTGTACTTGCTAACTTAAAACATTTTCAAAATATTTAAATTTTTAAAAATATTTCAAGGGCTGGTGAGATGGCTCAGCGGTTAAGAGCACTGACTGCTCTTCTAGAGGTCATGAGTTCAAATCCCAGCAACCACATGGTGGCTCACAACCATCTGCAATGAGATCTGATGCCCTCATATGGGTGTCTGAAGACAGCGACAGTGTAGTTACAAATAATAAATAAATAAATCTTTAAAAAAAAAAAAATATTTCAAAATATTTTCAACAAGGAAAAAGTGACTAAATCTATCAATTTACTGAAAAAATTTACCATTAAACACTTTTCGTAACTGATAACCCAACTAGATAAAATTATATAAAAACAGAGGAAGGATACAAGACAATTTAAATGATTAACAACAAACTTAACTTAGTAAAAACAAGAAGACTTATAAAAAATAGACCTATGGGTAAGCCACTTACAATGAAATTCTAAGAATGTCACACAATGAATCACAATCATATAAACCATGTTGTATGGTTCACCACATTGAACCTAAGTTAAAAACCAGTATGAAGTAAAGAATTCATAAATTTGGAAATTCAAAACTTGTATTTTCAAATATACAAGACTCAAGAATAACTGTAGTGGTTGGTAACTTATAAACACTGAACAATACTAAGAAAGTCCATAGAAGAACTTTTATGTACAATAGCTAAATTTACAATCCTAATTGCTTATATTAAAAAAGAGAAGCTAACAACTAGTGAAATACATACCCAACTCAGAGTTAGGGGGAAAAAAAAAGGAGACTAAATCTAAAGAAGAAGGAAAGAAATAATAAAATATACTGACAAAAAAAACCCATTCTTCACAAACATTTACAAACTGACAAGTTTCTAAAGATAACAAGCCACTAAATGAAGACACTGTATTAGGCTAGAGAGACAGCTCAGCTGTTAAGAACATGCACTGCCTTTGCACAGACCCTACTTTGGTTCTCAGCACCCACACTGTACAGCTCACAGCCACCTGTAACTCCAGCACTAGGAGATCCAACATCCTCTTCTGGTCTCTATAGGGACTGAACTCACATGTATCAACCTATACACACACACACACACACATAATAAAATAAAATCTTCATGAAGAGGAAACAGAACTATGAATATAGTAAATACTTAAGATAATGCTATGCTAATTAAATAAAGCTCCACACTGAGCCATGGTGGGGTAGGAGGGGAGGTGTACCCACAGCCAAACAGTGGATGGAGCTTGGGGACTCTTATGGAAGAATAGGAGGAAGGATTTCAGGCCCTAAAAGAGATAGGAACTCCACAGGAAGACCAACAGAGTTAACTAACCTGGACCTTTGAGACTCTCAGAGTCTGAACCACTAACCAAAGAATGTTCACAGGCAGGATCTAGGTCACCCTGCATATATGTAACAGATGTGCAGCTTGATCTTCATGTGGGTCTGAACAACTGGAACAGGTGCTATCCCACCAAAAGCTGTTGCCTGTACCTGGGATATGTTCTACTAGCTGGACTGCCTTGTCTGGCCTCAGTGGGAAAGGAAACACTTAGCTTTGCAGAGACTTGAAGTGCCAGGAGGATACCCAGGGGGACCCCTACTCCCTCAGCGAGAAGGGGAGGGAGGATGGGGGAAGGTCTGTGTGGTGGGTGATGACCAGTGGGGAGCAGTAAACATGATGTGATGTGAATAAGTAAAAATTAAATAAAACAAAACAGTGTTTGCTGCTAATTCCAACAACCTGAGACTTGGTCAGAGTGGTCCCCTGATCTCCCCACAGAGCAAGCACACCCACCCCCCATACAAACAAACACACAAAATAAATTAATGTTTAAAAAAAGTTAATGTTCAAGATAGACAAGGATAGGGAAAATCCTTAAATAAAAAAGTTACCAAAACTAACTTGAGCAGCAATAGAAAATATGACTAAATAAATCTTTCCCAAAATTATATGGTAAGGCCAGTTTTATACAAATTCTAGCAAAAGCAAAAAAAAACCAACAAAAAACAGGTAATTCTTAAAGAATATTCCAATCCAGTATTACTTCTAATAATTTAAAATGCAAATTAATCTAAAAACCAGAAAAATGTATGAAGCATCAATTAAAATGAAGCTACTAGCTTTACCAATAAAAAAGAATCAGGAACAAAATATAGTGAACTATGAAATAACATATGGTATCACACTGAATTTTAATTCAGTAAAACTATTCTTTATGTTTATAGATATGTAAATTACTAAAATCTGCATAACACACCTATTCATGCTTTGTCCCCTCTAGGCGAGGAACACATTGAGAGGTGAATATGGAGGTGGGGCATCTCAGGTCTACCTGTAAAATCTAATTTTTAAAACTCTAATAAATACATAGCATATGAAAGCTATAAAATAATTTTACTTTTGTCTGCATGTTTAAAATATTTCATTAAAAACTTTAGTAATAATAACAAAAAAAAACACAAAGAGAAACAACAATGTACATTAATGTTCCAAGGGCAACAGCAAACATGGAGTGCTTATAACTGCTGTTTTGTAATTTTTGGAATAGAGCAATTAGTGAGCATATATTGACAATCTGTAATCTAAATCTACTCCTCCAGGATTTTCTTCAGTGCTGGGATTGAATTCAGGACCTCATGCATGCTAATCAAGGGCTCTATCACTAAAGTATTCCAGCACCACTCCAACAGACATCTTGTTTTTGGTGCCAAGGCTAGACCCAGGGAGTTATCCATTGTAGGTGAGAACTCCCACCACTGAACCCATCTCTACCCTTCATATTTCAGTTTGAGACTGGGCTCATTAAGTTATCCAGGCTGCCTTGGAACTCACTCTACAGGTGAGGCAGGCCTTGGGCTTGAACTTTAGATTCTCCTGCCTTAGTCTTTTAAGTATCACAGGCCTATGCTACCAAGCTTAGGACATCTAAAGAAAATAATATTTTTCTATGAAAAGTATAATTTACTTTGTTGTACTGAGTAACAGGTTTAAGATAATCTCAGAGACACCAAAATATATCACTTCACATTAAGGAATAAAAACAGCCCTCCTCTTGGATTAATTTGACCAAGACAAAACCCAAATTTGAATTTTCCACTTTTGTCTTTGTATCTTCCATCTGCTTGTAGTTTATGGTTACTGAACTAGCTACAGTCTGTCTATTGTATGTGTCTGTGACTGCCTGAATACTGTTCAGATGTCTGCCTGTCTCTAACAAAGAGCTTTACCCTGTAGTTATTAAGCAGCACAGAAACATGGCACTGGGAAGGGATAGAAAGTTCTTCAGAAATCTTTAACAGAACTTTTACCCAGAATAGTAAACAATGCTGCAAAAAGACATTACCAAGCTATATCCTATATGGCTCCCAACATGTATGGTGGATATTTGTTTTAAGGTTCCTTTCAACCTGCTGGCTGATTTCAACAAATAATTACCACAATATACACACATACATTATTCTGGATCAGGGACATGGAAGAGTAGTAGATAAGATTAAAGATAGGTTATACTGTAAAATCTGACTGCATGGGAGAGCCAACACATAGTGAGCTTGGTTATTGTATTTTTCTCTTAAAGACAGGTTAAACTTAGGCTAAGGACATAGAAGGATAGCCAGTCAAATGGTCTTGAATGTTCCAGAGATATTATTAAGAAATATTTTTATGAAATTGCATCACATTGTTGACCATTAAAGAAATAAAGATTAAACAAGTAAAACATGTATCAGTACAATGATTATAGAACACCAATAAAAATATCTGGAAAGAATTTAACATGCAAAAATGATTGTAATTTAATGTTAAGTCCAACCTCTAAATAAGTTATATAATAGTCTGAAACTAGTTAAATGCACATACACACATACACATATGTACAGGGAAAGAGAGAGAGAATATATATAAAAATGTTTAAGAATGGTGGATATCTATGGGGAAATTATAGAGAGTTCCCCTTCCTGTATATGAACTCACCAAATACATTTGAACTCATAACTAGTAGGCCAAAAAATAAATTAATTAAAAAGTCCCATATTTCTTTTCAGTCTTCACATAATCAGAAGCATCACACTGTCCAAATTCTCAAACTAATCTCAGAGAGTGAGCAAACTTCAATGTAAGCTTAAAAACAGACTTCTGCTTTATACATAATAAAGAAAAAGAAAGCCGTTTTCTAACAAGAGCTTTTACTTACGTGGTAACTGTGACGTCTTACTATCATGTGACCGGTAGTCTTCATGAGGGACAGATTTGTCATCCTAATTGCAAAAAGAAAAAAAAAAGTTTATTACGCATATAATTAAAAACCAGCTAACGAGAGCTGTTATGTTGGGAAGAGATCTGAAGCAATTAGTAACTAAGGTCGAAATGAGAAGTAGGAACTCACCATTTTCACATGCATAGGTCTATCAAATAAAAACTGCCCATTGAACATGGCTGTTGATTCAGTCAAGGAAAGCCAGTTAAGATGACTATAAAACTGTACAAATTATCATATTTAAAGAGTGTGAAACCTTGTCTACTACCTTAACATCATTAGACTTTATTCATACTAGACTCTCGCTTTGATTTATAACTTCATTAACCAAAATTAACTAGGTTTTACCAACAGCAACTGCACTGATGTACAACAGAGTATGTGTTAAAGTACGCGCACACACACTGTCCAGCAGCAGGAAAAGTCAGCAGAAAACAAGTTCCTATCAGCCCTGAATAACATGGCCAACTGCAGTTTGAGTGAGTGACTCTAGTCCTCAAGGACTGGACAAAAGCCTACATTTCTAAATAAGGTGACATTATATAACATGAATAACAACTGTGCAAAGGTATCAAGCCTCACCAACATCATTTAATGCTAAATACAATCAGGATACAAATTGCTTGGACTGCTTCGATTGCTTGCTCAAAAGTGACAGTGCCCATGCCTCTGCTCTTGCCATCCTTGTCTTCTTTAATGTCAGCCCGCTTCACAGTTCCAGCTATGCTGAACACTTCCTTTAGTTTCTTCCAACCAACTTTGAAGTCAAGCTTAACACAGAATGCATAAAGTTAAATTTCTAACAAATTGCCTTCCCTCATTGTAAAAACAAAATACTCTTTTTTAACCTCATAAATCTATAAACTGTAATTCTTGCTCAACAATATACCAATGGTGTTGAAATAAAAAAGGTCTTGTTTAAAATCAGTTCAGCTACATCTATCTTGTTTCTTATCTTCATTTAAACTCCTCAAATCATCTTTCAATTTCTTAATCCTGTTCTGTCCGTGGGAAACTTAGCCATCTATTATGTCTAAGGAAAAATCAGGTTTTGGAAAACATTGTCCATTTCACAAGATTTCAAGAGTATAAAACAAGCCAGGAGGTGGTGACACACGCCTTTAATCCCAGCACTTGGGAGGCAGAGGCAGGCAGATTTCTGAGTTCAAGGCCAGCCTGGTCTACAGAGTGAGTTTCAGGACAACCAGGGCTACACAGAGAAACCCTGTCTCAAAAAACCAAAAAAAAAAACAAAACAAAACAAAAAAAAGAGTATAAAACAAATGGCAAATCAACCACAACAGGCATTTCTAAACACAAGGACTACAAGAATAAAATAATAAAGAATACACATAACTGACTCAAGAAAAAACTATTCAATGTCTATGATTTCCATAGTTGTGTTAAAATGCTACTTGTATTTAGAGTCTAACTTCAAATTACTTATATAAATTAGACTTAATTTTAACGTAATTATGACTTTTGTTTACTTAAGTTAAAAATAATGATCTACAACCTATCAGCATATATATAACAAAATAATCTCATAAGAGTTAAGTATCAGAGCAACAAAAGCTTCAACTATAGCTTAAACTTACATTAGCAACAAAAATTGTGGAACCAAGTCTACCAGCCTGCAAATTGCTGATAACCTCGGGAGGAATGTTTGGATTATTGAGAATGGAAGGTGGTAAATTCACCAACCCAGATCCCACATCGGAGGCATGTGATCCTTGAAATGATGTTCCTGTTCGCTGCAGCGCCCGGCGAGCATTTTCTCCATCGGGATCCTATAATGTGCAGTGAATGTTAACTGCCAGCAAACACATTAGTGAATATATACAATTCAAGTGGCTTAAAGTTGGACAGCAGCTAACCCACCTGGACCAAACTATTAATATCTGCGAGGACTAAGGGTTTTTTTTTGCTATTTTTATCCAGAAAGTGAGTCCCATAAAAACCTGTAGATTGACCTCTCACTATCAGAATACACTACTATAAACTCCAGTGGACTGAGATAGAGGAAAGTTTATTGTCACTGGCTAACATGACTGCTGAATAAAATACAATAACCCATTGTATAATCTCTTAGCTTCCTAAACAATGAAAAGGACTTGTGATGGGAAAAGGAGATAGCAGAAGGCCAAGTGTCCAAGTAAAGAATTATAGCAAATATATATAGGTTCGTTAACTTTTAAAAGAAATATTCTTTATTAAAACAAATCAAAGGCAAGTACAAATATGTTTCACCACTCATTTCACTAGGTAGAAGATGAACAACAAATCACAAACAAAATTACATTAAGAGGACCATTATGTGTATGCAAATGATCATGTCAAAAATTCTACTTTCTCATTTATGAACTCACAGCACTAATGCCTGCCTGCACATCAGACTAGCCAACATTCTAACATGGAGCAAAAAGGGACTCAGAACTCTACCTGTGAGGCATCTACTGGCAGTTGGTGGGTGGCTTCTAGGGAAGAAAAAGCCAGTTTTCTTTAAAGGTGTGGTCCCTGGCAGGTCAACCATGTAACAGCAGATGATGACACCCCCTCACCCCCCCCCCCCGCCAACACACATACAGAGAGAGACAGAGACAGAGAGAAAGAGACAGAGAGAGACAGAAACAGAGACAGAGAGGTGGGGGAGGAATGAGTGGACTCAGGTTTTAAAAGCTATTTGGAAGGAACACAAAGAAAATTGGGAGGGTGAGGAAGTAGGAATGGATCTGGGAGGAGATGGAGTCTATGACCAAAATATACTGTATGAAATTCTTTGAGAAAATATTCATCAAAAACTTCTCTATCTCAGTTTGTAAATGTTGATTTAAAAAAGTAAATAAGGAAGATGACTTGAATAAATTCTCCAGCATAGCTAGAATGATAAAAGGGAAAAAAGTGAATGTGAGAATAAACATATGCTAAACTCCAGTATGTTTCTTCATGATAAAGGAATTAAAAGGATTATAGAATACATGTTATCAAAGAATGTGGTGAGACTTTTTAATAAGTAGTCAGGATGCTTAGTGCTCAATCTGTTTGTTACCTGACAGAATTGTGGGGGGCAGGGGGAATGACTTCTAAACATGCTTATAGGGAATAACCTTGATTACATTAATTATAACTACTTTTTATTGTGAACAGAACCATCTTCTATACTAGATCCTGAAATTTATAAAATGCCCCGTCCAGTAGGGCATTAAACAGGGGTCCAGGGAGATCACCTGAAAGAGAGAATGGTGGAACGGGCGAACGCAAAGAACAGCATCTTGTCTATAGGCTGATCAAATGGCCATTTTTACTTTTTCACACAGGGGTTATATACACAAAAAGGCAGGATGTGGGGAAGGGGATGACGCAGGAGTGTAGGTGTTCAGGAGGAGTACAGGTATCTGCCAGAAGAGGGTATCAGCTGGGTGAAGGTTCAGGGGACAGGTCACTATGACTCCGCCTATGATTCACTTGTCCTTATCTAAGTTGGTACTATCCACCAAGGCTACCCAAGGTCTATGACTACCCACAAGACATATGACTACTTGTTCTCATCCAGGCTGGTAAATTTCCACCAAAGCTGCCTGTTTACACTATCTTATAGCTATCTGTTTCAGTGTTTTTCCACAGAGACCCAAGACTCTGTGCTAGCAGGCTGACTTAGGCCTATTGCTGATTTTAGGCCTTCAGTGTATAAGCAAGGCTGCCCCTGACAATAAAAGGAAGAAAGTAAGTGGAGCATGCATTCATATCTCTGCTTTCCAATGGTTTCAGCTGTTTTCCTGCTGCCTTGAATACCCAGCAATGATAGATCACCCTTCAAACTGTGAGCTAAAATAAACTCTAACAGAAGTTTATTTTATTCTATTATTTTATCACAGCATCAAGAGAAGAAAGTAAGACAGTCATAAATGTTTCAGGTTTGAGAACTAAAAAAACTTCTACAAGGACAAAATTGAAAAAGCGGTTAGGAGAATTAAAAAGAGAGAGGTCCTTCAACTATTAAAACACACAGGTTGTTTGTATTAATAGTTAAGAATAGTGTATTTGTTTTGTTACATGTAAACACAATAGATATTACATACACACACACACACACACAAATCACATATAATCTTAGTTTTTATTCCTGTTTCCCCTTGCTGTCCAACCTGCCAACCACTAACTGCTAATGCTATTTATTAGTGAGCCTACTAATACACGTACAATTCCTACTGATGTTCATATAACTGGATAGAATATTAAAAAGCTGCTATGGAACACTGCCAACACCTCTTCATTAGATAACTATGCAAGCAGTCCTCAGCAGTTTTACCAGACACTGATTTGTAAATCAGACATTCCTAGGAAAATGACTGCCTTTGTTAAACATTAGCTGAGGAGTTATATAAATCATTATTTAAAACTAAATTTGATCCCATTTCCCCTTCTAAAATAGTTAAAAATAGAGGCATCCTAAACCTTTATTCTGGGGTCTCAACAATAGATCTGAGCTCTTCAATACACTGCAACTTACACAATCACATGAACTAAGCCTCTAACACCCAGTCAATTTTGTCAATTAAAAACAGAAAGATACTATAAACATACTATGCTTAGTGTCTATAGCATCTCTATGGAGCTTTTATTATAATACTTGTTTCCTTTAAACAGAAACAGGATCATAAAATAGCAAATTATGATCATCAAATTATTAGAGGATTATAAACTAGAACAAATTATTTAGGATTCTGCACTTTTCTAAAGTTAAGTCCTGGCATATGCATAAAGCACCAAATAAATGACTAGTCAAACCACAAAATTTAAACATTCACGACCAAATCGCTATTAATTTTTTTAGATAATTATAATCCCAGGATCAATGAAGATTCAAGAAATTTTAAGTTAATTCCAGTAAAGAATGTAGGATACATGATATTTTGGGTACTAAAGCACTGAAACTTATCATCGCACTAAAGAACAAGACACCAACAATCATCAACAGTTTTTACAGCTTACATTTATGATAGAGCTAGAAGATTTTAAGTACTGTGCTAACAGCCTTCCATAACATCACAAGTATAGGAAATAGTAACACTTTGAATTTTTACAACACTAACATAGATTTCTAGTATTTCTCCTATCTCAATGACAAAGAAACTTAACAAAGGTTATACGATTTGCTCTTTCTGGGTCATTTAGCTTTTCTAGTGACAGAGTGATCTACAACGTATTTATCACATTTGATCTTCATAAAAGTCACATTAGATATCAGTGGCATTATAATAAATTAACTAAATTGCCTTCCAGTCTGTGCCAATGCCCTGAACAGACCTTGTGTGCCAGCTCTGCACCTAGTCCCACAACACTCAGAGGAGACTGGACTCCCAGGAGCTCTAACACACTCAGGATTATAAGATGCTGAAGGAGCATGGTGGCTGCCAGAGTGATTGGTGAGACATGCTGATGCTGGGACAAAGAATGATGCTGACCTGTGAGCTTGCTGAATGCCCTGACAATGATGACTAGGAAGCTGTATTGGACATATATTCCTGACCCACCTTTGCTTGCCTATCTCCCAGATGGGACAAGCTGCCTTGCCTCAAGCTTTTAGACCTTGTGGGACAGAGAATCAAAAAGGGAAGTTGTAATGACTCTTGTATTTTTCTTAAATGTGACCAGTTATTCTGACTCAATCATGGACTGGTCTAGAAATCTATCCAATATTGGAAATAACAGTCTTCATTTGGAAGGCTGGTTCTGGACATTTTCAGAGACATATTTGGAAGTTAGCAGCAGTTCTCTATGATGTTATGTTAGCAAGAGATAAAGTTGGGACAGGTTCTGGATTTCAAACAAGTGTTAGTGCATGTATAAGGCTCTTTTAATTGTCAAGTTAAAATTACTTTTGTTTCTTCTACAGTATTTATTGTAAGTTGCATTGACTGTACACTTTCTAATTATGTTAGTGTGTTGAAACCCGACATGTCTGTTATGATGGTCTATTAACCAGCTTTTGTTTTATTGCCCTGAGTATTACAGAACCTTGGTATTCCGAAAAAAGCTTGCAAATACTAGAAGAAGTGAGTCAGGCTTTAAGCAGAAGCAAGAGGGGAGTGGGCTTGATCATTGCTGGTATAACAGCTTTAACTACATTAAAAGTTAGTACCATTGCTTCTGCAATTGCTTTAACATGAGAAGTTAAGACAGCTACTTTTGTTAATCATTTAGCAAAAAAATATTACCAATGTGTTGAGTTTTCAAGAGGATTTGAATAGGCGTTTGGAACACGGATTGATGCTCTTTATCCTATTCAAATTATTGGCAGGAGGTTCAGAGTTTAAGAGTAAGGAGCCATCTCGAGTGTCATACCAAATACCATTGGATTTGTGTTACTTTTAAAATTTATAATGATAGTCATAATTAGGAAAAAGTTTAAAGACACTTGCAGGATATTTGGCATAATTCTAACACCTCTCTGGATGTTTTAACTTTGCATAGTGAGATTATGAATGTAAAGAATGCTGCTCTGCTGAACTTCGATGCTGCAGATAACTGCTGATAAAATTATCCATGGCCTGAGGTCAGTATTTCCATTTTGGTCAAGCTTCAAGAATGGCATATATAGCTTGACCATGCTAGCCCTTTTTGTCCTGGGAATACTTTTATCCATGACCATTGTGTTAAAGCTTGTCTTTAACAACATCATCATGTTGGTGGCAAAGTACATGGCTTGAAACTGAAAACAGATCCTCAGACAGAGTTATTAATTTAACAGGCTGGCAAGCCAAAGACAAGTAAGATTCTGCACAGAGCCTTACCAATCTAAGACATAAGTGCATTGCTTTTGATAATCCATATTCCAGATGGGTAAGGAAGGCATTCTTGTCAGAATGACCTAAGACAGGCTAAGTCTTGTTTATGAAATAAAAAAAGGGGAGATGTGGAGAGCTTTTGGGGCTGCTTGGCAGTAATCTGACGTTGGCCAGGGACAAGAAGTGGGCTTCAGGCAAGAATCTGACATTAAGCTAGAACGAAGAAGTAATTTCAGGCAGAAATCTAAATCTTAGTCTAGAACAAAGAAGTAGGCTTCAGGCTTGAAAATGACTTTGGGCTAGGACAAGGAAGTAGGCTCAGATATTTTGATCATCCTGATAAGCCCTTAGAAACAATGATTACTAGAGTGATAATGGGACTTTGTATATTCCCTTGCTTATTCTTTGACTATTTGTGTTTATTGTCTTGCTTGTTCCTTCACTGTTTGCATCTATTGTATTGCTAGTTCCTCAACCTAGAACTGACCTTCATACTTGCATGTAATTAAAATGGTATAAAAGCAGATTGAGGAAAAAAATTAAAGTCTAGAGAAATGAGGTATTGTCACATGGCCAGAAAAGAATAAGCTAGAATTCAAAAATCACTGTTCTCTGGTTGAATGCCAGCCAATGAATAGCATCAGTATTAGTTCAACATTTCTGACTCAAAATAACATTGCTTATTTCTTTCAATACAGTTTAGCAAGGATATGTGTACAAATGGGTCTATGGTCAAACTAATATGGCAAAACAACATAAAATAAAAGAGCCCATGAAACTGAGTGTTATTCAAGCTAATTATTACCAAGATCAACTACTCCTGTATGTGCTATTATGTAAATACCTTCTGATCATTTGTCACTCTATTTCCACTAAAATCCCCGTAATAGATTATCCAAGTTCTAGTTACACATCTCAGTAAGCTATAATGCTTCTTAAATTCTAACCTTAGAATCTAAATTTTATTAAAGATGAATATCAATCTTATTCAAATCCAGGTATGTGTATTTTCAAGCAACCTGTAATCAACTACAATACCTATTGCATTTTTAAGTGAACAGTCTAAACACTGAAAATGTTTATAGCAAATAAAGTCTGTACCTTAAGTTTGCCATCTTTAAATTTTTGGGTCCTGATTTTTATTTTAAATTGAAGACTTCTATCTATCTGTAACTAGAAGCTAAATAAACATAAAGAATGACTTAGGGGGCTGGAGAGATGGCTCAGTGGTTAAGAGCACTGACTGCACTTCCAGAGGTCCTGAGTTCAAATCCCAGCAACCACATGGTGGCTCACAACCATCTGTAATGAGATCTGATGCCCTCTTCTGGTGTGTCTGAAGACAGCTACAGTGTATTCATATATAATAAATAAATAAATCTTTAAAAAAAAAAAAAAAAGAATGACTTAGGAATTAATAGCAAATCATCTCTTAAGTAAAATTATCACAAGCTGCAATTCTTTAATAAGCATCTATCCTTAAAAAAGCAGTCATATAACTACATGAGAAAAAAACAAAGGAAGCATGTTCATATAATTAAATATTTAAATTGCAAATACAAAAAAACTTACCTCTTTAATATTCAGAGGCCTTCCACTAAGGTCATATTTGTTCATAGTTTCTAATGCTTTCTTTACAAATTCTTCATCTTTGAATTCAACCACGCTTAATAGGGGAAAATATATAAGAAATGCTTATGTGCAAAGATTTCTTTATTCCTATTCACAAGATTAATTTAACATAAGATACTTTTAAAAAATTCTTACCCACAACCCTGTATCCAGTAGATTGTCAATATATGCAAAAGAAAAAAACATTTTAGGTCAGTAGATGAATTTAATGGAAAACTCTAATTTTTAAGTCATTAAAAAGTAATCAAGAACACATTTGCTTTTTCTTGTACACCTCCAGAATGTAACAGGCAAGTGACCATGCATTTTCAACAAATTTTTAAATCCATCTAACATGTTACAAGCTTGGAGTACATTCTTACTTTCAGGTGACTTTTCTTAAAATTAAAACTAGTACCACTGTATGAATTCAGTCAACAGTAAGTAAAGGAAGAAACTGAAGGCTCCAATATCATGCTCTTACACAGTAATAAATATTTCAAGATATATTCCACACAATATACTTTTTAAGTCTAATTAAAGTAACAAATAAATATGTATTTTTAAAGTTCTTATGTGTATTATTTGCCTGCATGTATGGCTGGCTATACACAATGTGTGAATCTGGTGCCCACAGAGGCCAGAAGAGAGTGCTACATCTCTTGGAACTTGAGTTCCAGATGGTTGTGAGCTGCCATGTGGTGCTAGGATTGAGCCCAAATTCTCTAAGAGCAGCCAGTGCTCTTAACTGATGAGCCATCTCTCCAGCCCCCATGAAGTTTACTTTTAATAAAGTTATCTATTAGATTAAAACTGGCTGCACACAATTTAGAAGCACCTAGCTGGAAGCATGTAAAACAAATTAACCATGCTAAAGAAACTTACAGAATCATTTTTTAAAAATAATTCCTGTGATTATTGTTCAAGGTACCACTTGAATGTGAAGACAAAGTTTGTATTTCTCATGTACCCAACCATTTTGTGACTATGATGAGCCGCTGTTAAAGAACTTTCCATTATATTCTTCGGTATACTCATGCTGCTAAATCAAAATCTATCATCAGCCTTCCGGTCAACTTAGTCATAGACATCATTCATACCAATTGGTCAGAGTACTGCCTCTTACATGGTCCTGCAGGCTAACAAATTAAGCTTTTCAATAAAAGTTTCAAAATTATATTCTAAATTAACACCTTTAAGCCACAGGCCTCTCATGAAACTCTTAGGGAATATTATCAATTCAGTGACTTTTAAAATATCCCTGAAGTCATCAAAATACAACAAAAAGCAATATTAAAATTTTATTAGCTAAAAAAAAAAGCATACCTTAAAGCATTAAAAAAATGAATGCCCTTTATGAGCATTTACAAAACCCATCCCTTTCAGGTAGCTAGTTAGGTTGGCATATGTCAGACTTACTAGGATAAAACCTCAAATCTTAAAGTAAAACAAAATGAAACTTAAGTTTCCAAAAGTCTGGTAGAGTATTATACAAAAGTAAACTGCTGAGGAACTTTTAAACCTCGAGCAGATTATGGCCCACAGCACTTACCCTTGATTTTCCTTCCGCATCCTTAAAGAGCTCCACGTATGTAACCTCACCAACTACATAAGACATACAAAAGGAAGATACCAAGAAACAATACATTTAAACACCAGTATCTTGCTTTACTGCACACCTGTGCACAACTCTACAGAAAAGCACCTATTATTCACCAGCAATCAGGACCAGATCAACATACCTCCTATCAATAGCTATAGAAATTTAACTAATTTTCAGAAATTACCTCATCCACATTCTCTAAAAAAGCTAACAACCATATTAACCCAATTCATACTGCAGATCGTATTTGGCCATCATGGTATGGTTGGTGAACAAATGCACATATACATACAAATGGTCCCTCAGCCTATCATATTAACAACATTAGCACTTTTCAAATAACTTTGGTCAGCCTACACACAACAGCTGTTTTAAGGTGACTTCCTACCTGAATGTCTTCAATCATGTTTGCCATCAGTAAACTAAATTTACAAGTAATGCTTCACAGCAAGCCACACACTTCTAAATAGTCAGTGAATAAAACCAGTCAAATAGTTGTCACCTTACAACAGATACACCAATGCAATTAAAAAAAAATTATTAGAAGATCGCCCTCAAAGCCAAGTAGATAGTTTGCAGGACTGTTGAACCTCAATTTTTCAAGAACTAACAGACCTAACTTTTACAAGATCAAGTATTGACATTATTTTCCCCAGAAACCAAGCATGTGTAGAAGATGAAGTTTTCAGTTATTCTGAAAACAGAACTGCAGCAGCAGTGACACATTTATACAGAACTGCAAGGACAGCAGCATGGCAGTCGTGACAAGGCAAGCAAAATGAATTCCACAGCCAGATTCCAGACTCCACCAAAAACATCTTTGGGGGGAAAAAATCGACCATATTATACATACTTTAACAAGCTAAATGCATTGCTTAACTAATGCAATAATCCTTTTAAAATCTATTTAAAAAAAACTTCAACAAGACAAAGCAATCACTTTAACGAAATTCTTGGTGGCATGCAGATGCTGGCTTCACTATCCCACTAAAATGGCAAAAAGAAAAAGACTTCATTTATCCATACTTCCTTGTAATGAAATTGCCAAGTGGAAGGAAAAAGAAAAGATTAATTCACATGTCAAGAAAGAAAAGTCTCTCTCTTTCTTTTTTTGAGTCTGTGTGGCTAAGAGGAATAAAAAGTCTGCTTATTTCCTTTCCTCCCCTTCCTATACAAAGAGTACAACATAAGTTACTGAAGAAACTGTTACCTTTTTCTCTCATCAAGTCTTTAATAGCCTGCCATTTCATGTCATAGGGGATGTTGCTAATGAACACTCTATTCCGATTTGGACCTTTCTTTTCTCCAGTGCCCGAATTCTTATCTTTTGAATAAGGATGAAACCGATTGGCCTTCTTATTTCCTGTAGACTTTTCTTTTAAATCAGATTTTTCCTCCTTCATTGATTCATCATTCTCCCTGTGAATTAGAAAACAGACAAAAGCATCTTTAGTTGAACTTCTAAGAATAGAACTCTGTCATCTGTCACTTCACAAAATTCTCAATTAAGCTAGAACTTAGCAAAGAAGCAGGAAGTCAGCCTGAGAGTTCCATATTGTCTAAGCTTTCTAATTCCTCAGTTAACAGTTGGCATTTTTCTTCTATGTTAATACTTGTAAGCATCTCCAAACACAGTTTTTCCCATGATACTACTTAATAAATATTAATAGACCCTATGGAGGGAGCATGTGAGTTATCTCAGTATCTCATTTAGGGAAGAATTAACTTTCGGAGCTTTATTCAACTCTAAAGCCCAATCTGGACCAACAAGAGGGCACTTGCTGCAGGAGCCTGATGACCTGACCTCAAAACCAGAACCCATGTTAAAGATGGAATGAGAGAATTGACTATACAAATTGTCCTCTGATATCAATATGAACATCATGGCTCACACACATACATCATACACGCAACACACACAAATGTGAATATAAGAAAAATTCTTAAAAATGTTTTAACTAAATTATATTTTAAAAGCTAGCTTATATTATAAAAATGGTGGCACATACTTATAATTCCAGCACTCAGGAGACAGATGCAAGATTACCACAAGGTTCAAGACAGGCTGGTCTATATAATAAGTTATAAGGCAGCCACCCAAACCAGAACTATAGTCAAAACTCTGTCCTCACCACTACCCCACCCTAGCCACAAAACTATTAGGATGCCAAATACCAATATAGGAAAGATGAGTGTATACCTAAAGTAATCCCTATAGATAAAAATCTGTATTTATATTTAAAACTACAATTTACATTTTTAAAGCAATATACAGGTGCATGTGTGTGGGGGGATGCACAGGCGTGTCTGTGAGAGTATGTATGGAGAGCAGGGGACAGCCTCAGGAATATCATTCCTGTCCTTTGAGATAGTGTCTGTCTTTGGACTAAAGCTCACCAAATTGGTGAGACCCAGGAATCCTGTCTCCTTCTCCCCAGCACTAGAATTACAAGGACAAACACACATCCAATATTTTCACATGGTTCTGGAGAGTTAACTCAGGTCCTCGAGAGGTATGCACTTTTTCAACTTGCTATCTCCCTAGGACTCAAAAGCAATCTTATTATAGAAACAACACTAGATTTAATTCATGGATAGTCAACCTAAAGTAATTTCATTAACAAGTTAATTTAAAAGCAATTTTTTATAAACTTTAATGACTCGAAATCTCTAAGAATAAAGAAGAAAATAGATTTCTTAAAAATTTCAAGCCAGGAGGTGGTGGCGCACGCCTTTAATCCCAGCACTTGGGAGGCAGAGGCAGGCGGATTTCTGAGTTCGAGGCCAGCCTGGTCTACAGAGTGAGTTCCAGGACAGCCAGGGCTATACAGAGAAACCTCGTCTCGAAAAAAAAAAAAAAATTCATGGATTATTCTAACAATAAACCAAACTTCATAATCCAGGCTATAAATTCTAAGATGAGCAATTTTGGAAGACTATGAACAAACTTCTTACTTCTTTCATTAGTATGAAAATTTCATTGTTTAGACAGCACTCTCCTGACCACTACCATAAAGAAAGCTCATAAAGTCTATAAGAATAAAAACTGTCCTCTGTGCTATCTACACTGTATCTGGAATGGCAACTAACTATACCATATACTGGATAAGTTGTAATTCTTCAACTGTCAGTTAAGGACTCACACTCTGGAGATTGGTAAAGTGCTTGCTTTACAAAGCTGAGTGCCAATATTAGGATCTCCAGCATCCACATAAAAAGCTGGGCATGGAAATACACATCTGTAACTCCTGGAGGGCTGGGGGGTTGGGGGGAGAAGAATGGTAGATTCCTGAACCTTACTGGTCAGCCAAGCTAGCCTAATCAGTAAGATTTAGGTTCAATGAGAAAACTCTCAGAAAATATACATGTGTGCTCACATACAGAAACATACACAGACACAAACTCAAACTCACCGAAAATGGTGATACATGCCTGTAATACCAACATTCAAAGAGATGGAAGCAAAGAGCTGAGGGCCAGTCTGGACTACACAGTACCAAGTTAGTCAGAGCTTAGATTAGATCCTACCTCAAAAACAAACAGAATCCATACTCTAAACAGATGGTGGTACCATCTTTGATAAATGCTCCTACAATCTAGAAAGAAACATTAGTACCCAATTTGCTTCTATTCAGATTTTGACAGGAACATCTTCTCTATCAGCCTTATTCTTTTATAAGAAATGGAATGATCTGAAAGGGGTCTTCTCAACTGTTCTAGAATGTGTCTCTGTGTGAATAAAGTGGCATTTCTGAGAATAGAAACGAGCAGCCAAAATACACAAGGCCTCTTCTCTGGTTCCTAGCTACAGCAGACATAACAAACCTTTCTTCTTTATTCCTCAAAAGAACAATCTGCATAATAATGTGCTTCACTGAATTCCCTGACTGTCTCCAGTCCAAAGTCAGGTAAGAAGATATCTGGTCTTTGCTAAGAATCCCTCCTGTCTACTCTCACCCTGGATGAATTCACTGTGAAAACACAGAGTTCTCAAGTACTCTATTATAAGTTCCTCTATTCTTCACCTGGATGAATGAAGGTTACATGACTGTAATAAACATTTGCTTACAACACTCTAGACAATTCATTACAAAATACATTATTAGAATATTTTCTATGTTTACTTAAAGGCTGACCAAAGAAAAACTAAAGGTTTCTTAATAATCAGAAACCAAACTATAAAATGACCTAGCAATTCCATTGTTTTGTATTTAACGAAAGAAATAAAACCATCTGACTGGGCTGGAGAGATGGCTCAGAGGTTAAGAGCACTGGCTGCTCTTCCAGAGGTCCTGAGTTCAATTCCCAGCAACCACATGGTGGCTCACAACCATCTGGAATGGGATCCGATGCCCTTTTCTGGTGTATCTGAAGACACAGCTTACTCATATGCATAAAATAAGCAAACAAATAAACCTTTTAAAAAAAAAAACCATCTGACTATCTGAACTCATATTCACTATATTTTTCACAATAACTAAGATAAGGAACTGAACTAAGTCTGCTTACTGATCGAAGACTGGTTAAAGAAAAGGTGGAAGTGGGCATGTATATATTCCATATATATACATACATACATACATACATACACACACACACACACACACACACACACACACAAAGAGAGAGGGGGAGGGAGGAACAGAGACAGACAGACAGAGGGACACAGAAAGAGAGATCCAGCGTTTAAAAGGAAAGCCTGCCATCTGCAGCAACCTGAAGGACAGTGGGCTAAGTAAAATAAGCCAAACACAGAAAACCAAATACTGCATGACATCAAAAACAAAACTCAAAGCATCAGGGTACAGTGATCATTACCACAAGTCTAATGAGATGTCTGCCTAAGTATATAAACTTCCAGTAACCAAGCTCTGCAGACAATGTGTAGTAAAATATTTGGAACAATTACAAAAGATGCTAGGCTACATGAGCTCACAGGTATATTAGTTCAAGTACAATAATCACTGTATAATAACAAATCAAAACATCTGAGGAACAAACATCACAGTTGTGACCTTCACTCACGAGAAAACTGATGCTTTATTAGTAATCACTTCACCCTACCCTAGTGCTGAATATCTTATAAATAGCATAATATAAATGCATCTGTAATCATACAAGACTAATGAAGAGACACAAGATAGTTTGTGCTTTGCTTCCAATTTACTTGAGTGTAGACAGAGGAAGTAGGATCTTCAACTCCTGTCTAAAGATGAACAAGCCAATTAAATCTTTTCCATGAGTTTCAGGGTCTCAAAATTTCTTCCTGTATTTCTTCAATGGATAATCACTGATCCTTTAAAATGTAAGGCGCAAGGATGAAAAGAACAGCCAACTCTGTCTGCTGTGACCATGAATTAACTTAATACAAGTCGTGTCAATCCCAACAGCAGCACATGGTTCACTTGGAAGAAGTGGATGTTGGAAAGTAGTGTCTGCTTATCAAAATTCTTTTAATGACTTATCACTAAAAGCACGGTAATCAGCCCAAAGTTTAGGGTTATCAACCACCCCTACAGGTTCACTATAGATTCACATAAGATTTAAGGCCCTAAGTATTCATTGTGACTACCTCATGCTGCCTACCAGACATGCAAGAAATTCCTTAGAGTACATTGGTCTCTACGCAACACTGAGAAAATATGAAAAGAATAAATTAGAATAAGGAAACAACCTGCATTTACTGCCCCATATTTTCTCTCCTTAAATTAGAAAATGGTTCTTCCTCACCTCTTTTCCCATCCTGTAATGCAACTGTGGACAGTATATTTTTGGGTCTAATAGAGGCTTAGATACCAGCTTCACAAGTACCAACATTATAGGATTCAATGGTTATTTTCTTCAGGAAAAAAACAGTGGCACAGTAATGCATAGATACAAATTAATAATACATACCTGTCATCCCTCAGCCCATTCCATCCCACAGATAAACAGTCCACAGATGCTCTACTCCTTTTCCCAAAATACAGTGTTTGCATGTGACTTGAGCACAATCTCACACATACTTTATTTAATCTCTTCCTTACTTATAATACCTAAAACAATGCATAAATTTATGTATGCTTGCTTTCCATATAGATACAATATGGGTAGTTCCAATTCAAGATTAAATCCATGGATACAGAATCCCAATACATGCAGGCTGACTGTATTGCTACAGTCACTCCATTTTTTTTTTCTATTTTTAATAGCAAATCTCTGGAAAAGCCCACGATTTGACAGCCTAAGAGAGAGGCTTTACTTGCTTTCTGATTTCTCAGTGGTGGAGATACATGCACACTCTCCATCCATGAGCAAACTGCACTGACTTTGAATCCCTCCAAATCTGATACCTGCAAAATTCTGTTCTGCTCATAAGATGCATCCTGTTCAAAAGTCACCAGGTAGGTAGGGAAACTAACGTCCATATTTAAGGTATTTCTAGCCAATTCAAAGGTAACACAATGGACTCCGCCTAACGGAACACTCCTAAGGGGCCTCTCCACACTTATCATTTCAAAAATGAATATAGGCATCAGCAAAACAGCAAACACTGGACTTCTAAAGCTCAGGATAGGCCCCAGGTAACTGGGGTAATTCCTCTTAAATACACTGTCAGTGGTAAAGAGAAAAAAATATCCAATGATGTCATCCTAAGAACAAGACCGTCATAACGAAGCTGAGGAGAGCTACTCCATCTAATCTGCAACCAACTCAATTCAGTCAGTTCCAACAGACTGGTCCAAATGGTACCATCACTACCTCAAGTATTTCAACACAAAAGCCGGAAAGGCATTTTAACTTTCCTGACGAGCATGTGTTCACTGCTTTCTGCTGAGGCAGAATTGAGAGGTGAAGAGTGTTTTAACAAATTACAGATATATTTTCAACTTCAGTTTTACAGAATAAGCCATAGGAAAATCAATGTTTGCCTTCCCATCGCCCCACGTGACAAAGGCAGGTGAGCACAATCTGCCCCATCCTACAGTCTTACAACTTAAGATCTTAAGGATTAACGTCGACTGAATTCTCTACAGACACAGATGACAGATCCAACCTTCAACCCTTGGGTTTTCTTCTAAAAAACACTGTATTTTATGGGTTGGGGGTGTCGTTTTGTGGCCTAGCGCCTGTCTAGAGAATGCACGAGGCCCTGGGTGGCGTTCCCAGCTTTGCCAAATACAGATTTATATTTTGGTAATTTAATTATATCATAAGTGAATTATAGTAAAATGAAAGCCACCACACACTGAGTTTGTGTTTAAAAAAAAAAAAAAGCAGCCTGCACGGCCGATAACCATCACCGGGTGGGTGGAGGAGACCAAGTCCCCCTTTTTCGAAAGCCAATCAAGAGGAACACAATAGGTTCGGTCAGCTCTAACACTTTGGAAACCACCACTGCACACGCGGCTCTCACCGGGGCTCGGAACCGGGCCGGGAGGGGAAAGGCCCGATGATGTCATCCCTAGGTCCTCCCCCGGGGATGAGGCTAGCCTCGGGCCTTTTAAAGGGGACCGTTTTCCGCGCGCCTGAGGCCGGGGCCGCCCGCGCCGCACCTGCTCCCGCACCGGGGCCGCCCGCGCCTCCCGCCCTGCCCGCCCGCCTGGGAGAGACAATACATTTTAACGCCGTTGGCGCTGCTGCGCGGCGGTTTCTCGGGCTCGCCGGGGTGCGGGTCTCGCCGCGGCTCAGCCGGTTGCTGCTGCGGGCTGTCGTCACCCGCGGCCGCCTCGGGCTTGTCGGCATCGGCCATCCCGCCGCGGGCTCCGCCTCGGCCGCGCTGAGGGCTCCGAGCGCTACAATGGCGGCGGCCGGCGGAGCGGTAACGGATCGCGATTTGAAAAGGCCCCGAGCGCTCGGCGGCCCGGATCTCGCGAGAGCGGACGAGGCCCCGCGACTTGGGGAGCGAGCGGGGGCGGGGCTCCAGCGCGGCCACCTGCGGAGGGAGCGTTGGCTGCCTAGGGGCGCAGAGATGGGGGTCCTCCCGAGGCGGGGCGTTAGGATACCAGAACTACGGCAGCTCCATCTCTGGAGGTGGATGCTCTGTGAACCCACCAGCGAGCACCCGTGGCTGAGGACAAGTCACCAAATTGACTACTTTCTTTGAGGGCTGAAGATTTCTGTAGACCTTAGCAACTAGCTAAGAGGTTGAAGATTTTACATTCTCGGGGCAGCAGTCGATTTGGACAGTCCGTCGTTTTCTTAAGGAATCCTGTGCGAGGGGCCTGGAGGAGCTCAGCAGTTAGGATAACTTGCTGCTCTTGCCACGGACCCAGGTTCGGTTCCCAGCACCCACATAAAGAAGTTCCAACAACCTCTTGTGACTCCACAGGCACTGGCATGTATGTGATACACATGTATACATGCAGGCAAATCGCACGCACACATGTAAAAAAATTGTAATTTTTTAAAAAGAAGTCTTATACAAGATTAGCTACAAATGCATATTTTGGTTTTGGTTACAGATTTTCCCCTTCAATACGAAGAGCTCATAAACTTGAGTGATATAATTACACTTCACTCGAAAATGGCCTTTTTCAGTTGAAAAATGCAAAGACATCCTCAAATGTTTCCTTCTATAAAAAAAAAAAAAAGAAGTGAACGGCATAGGGCAGGCATACTTTATTAGTGATGAGAGTGATCTGTGAAATGTTGTGTTTGATGCTCTACCCACATAGTATCCTAAACACAACAGATACACTTGATTTGTGTTTCTGTACAGTCACCCCTGGGGCCTAATGTTTGCAATTAGCAGACAGGTACTGGAATTTGGCCAGACAATCAGGATTAGGGCGACCTCTGCCATTTTCTCCTCGGCTAAGGTAGTTCAGTACTCAACCTCTCTTCCCAGTAAAGACAGCAGCTCCTTTCCTGCAGGGTAGAGATTTAAAGAAAACACTTCATCTAGTGCCAAGTGCTACAGTGTTACAATCTCTGTCTCTTAAGGTTCCCATGGGGTTTCAGTCAAGGAGAAACCAGATTATCTCCCCACCAACAACAACAACCCCGAAGTAGTAAATTGTAATCACTTTCAAAGTATTCATCATTCCATTGACTCTTTTGCTAACATTGAATTTCGACAAGAAACTCCATCTGACAGGCTCTGGACTAGTAGATTCCTGCAAAAACCTTTTTCACCCTTCAATACTTTTCAAGAGTTCATCATGACCAAACCATAATAGAAGGTTCAGAAGGGAGACTAGAGCCCTGCTGGAGGAGGACTTTGGGAAACAGCACTATTTGAGAGCTGTAATTGAGCTAAAAGTACGATTACACACACACACACACACACACACACACACACACACAAGACTTGCCCATACTCCAGAGTATGCCAATTTAAATATCCCATTAAAAGATCTAATCTTAATGACTGAGCTTTGGAGGACACTGTTTTTGGAATTTCCAATCCCAATAAGCCTATATAAAAACCACGCAATCCAGTTATTATAATTATAACATATAAGCCTGGATGAGGCAAATCTAACACTATACTGACTTATTCCCCAGCAATAAAACCCCTTACTACTTGTGGTTTCTCCTGGCCATGTGATTCTGCTCCATCATGGCTACGTTCTCCTTGTCTTCCGTCTCCTCTCGTCCTCTCTCTTCTCTACCTGCCCCCATTCTCAAAGACCTCCTGTCCCACCTTTCCCCTCCACTCCCCAAATACAGGCTCTAGTCTTTATTGACCAGTTAAAATGGGGAGAAGGTTCATGTGAGATCACCTGAGTACTTGATCAACTGCTCTTGGGGGCAACCCCTCTTGAGGAGGCAGAATTAACATCAGAATACAAACAGCATCAGGACAAACCACAACTGAGCAGGATTTAAATTGGGTGCCTAATATAAATGTGTCTCTGCCTACATGTTAGCCCCAATCTTGTGGGTTCATAAAGAGCAGAGGATTATCAAAACTGAGGATCACTGAGGGGTTCCTAGAAGAGATGAGTCCTGAAAGGCTGGATCAGGTGGAGCAGCTTCCATGCAGGGGAGAAGCTACCCTGTACCTTTTCTTCTCCATGCTGTTGATGTCATACTTAAGGATAGTGAAATCTACAAAGGACAGAGTAAAATTCAATTCCTCTACTCCCACACACTGGGTTTTTTTTTTTCAGTGTATGTGTACACATTGAAAAAAACTTAGGTAACAGATGCTGAAGTTTTTCTCCCAAGAGTCCTACTGCAAAATCGTTATCCTCCACAATTACCCAAAACGTATTTCTAGAGCTTTGACTAAGAGTGAGCTCCTTTCACCTCTGTGTTTGAACACTTGGGTCCCACCTAGACCCTAGTTGGCAGTGCTGTCTTGGGAGACTTAGGAGATGTAACCTTGTTGGAGGAAGAGAGTTTACAAACACATGCCATTCCCAGTTCACTCTGTGTGAACACACTTGTGTGTGTGTCTGCTTCCTACAAGAACACGCTCTCAGCTTGCTGTTCCAAATATCACCTGCCTGCTGCCATGCCTCCCCAACATGATGACTCTAAGATTCTAAACTTAATAAGTGTTCTTTGTTATTTGAAGCTTGGAAAAGAGTTTATAGATCTAAGGCTAGGTCTCCGTGGTGGAGCACCCGTCTAACACAGTTTAATCCGCAGTCCTGTACACGGCTCTCTTTGCAGTATGATGAAAATATAGGTATTTATTACTGAGTAATAGAAACATTTCAACCACTTTCTACTTCCTTAGCTTAAGTCATCCTGCTTGTGCCTCAGCGTCACTCAATAACTGCATGCCAAGCCAGATTAGAACAAGTTGGTGGGAAGCCTGCCCACTTTCCTTTGCACAGAAAGAGACATTCCCTCTCCTTAGGACACAGAAGAATTCAGCTTCCTCCATCCAAAGCTGTGGAGATTTATCTGTCCCTCATCTGGCAACTGCACTCTAAAGAGTACCAAGGTGATTACCTTGTGTTAGATGTTGTCTTTAATTGAAATATTGATATTTTTGTGGCACTGTTCTCAAGCTTTAATTACAGCACTTGGAACAGAAAGTAGAGTTCATAGAATGACGAGTTGCCAGGTCCAATCCCTGTACAGCTCTGAGTATTTGAAGATAATCCTTAAAAGCTGATAGAGAAGATAACTAACAAAACCAACCATCCTCATCTTATTTGCTGATAGGAAATATATTGATGACCCCCAAGAACAGCAGCAGCAGTGGAATGCATCAACATGAGCTTAGAGTGCTACAGAGGGCAGAGCTGGAGAAGTGACGTCAGCCTTTTGGAGGAGCTCAGAAGATCATGTGTGGATGCCAGATATTGAAACGAGGTTATAACATTGAAGCTGCCTTGAAGACCCCAAGATATTCGAGATGACAGAGCTATAGGACATCTGCTGAGGAAAGCTGCTAACAGGGAGTAGAAACCAGCCCAGGCAAAAAAGTTTGTTGCAGTCAACAAAGATGAAAAAGGAGTTGGAGATCTGAAGACTGCTTTGACATCAGACATGGAGATGCAGAGTTTGGAGTGTGCCCACCTGTTTTCCTGTCTTGCTTTGGGGATTACAGTTAAGTGATTGGATGTTCAAAGTCTCAGGAGAGACTTTGAATTTTGGACTTTTAACATTGTTGAGACTGCTATAGACTTTGAAGTTGGACTAAATGTGTTTTGCATTATGCTATGTTTAAGTATGGCCTCTATTGACTCATATGTTTGAATAAGCCTATGGGAACCAGGGAGTGGAATGTGATGGTTTGTATATGCTTGACCCATGGAATGGCAGTATTAGAGGGTGTAGCCCTGTTGGAGTAGATGTGTCACTGTGGGGCTGGGATTAAGACCCTCACCCTAGCTGTCTGGAAGTCAGTCTTCCACTAGCAGCCTTCAGATGAAGATGTAGAACTCTCAGCTCTGCCTGCACCATGCCTGCCTAGATGCTTCCATGCTCCCACCTTGATGATAATGGACTGAACCTCTGAACCTATAAGCCAGCCCCAATTAAATGTTGCCTTTATAAGACTTGCCTTGGTTATGGTATATGTTCACAGCAGTAAAATCCTAACTAAGACACTACTAAAACCCATATTTTACTCTCTACTTACAGCTAGATATATTTCTGTAGGTATATTTCTGGTCAGTAAAATCTAAGAGAAATGTTGAGTGGGCCATGTAGGAGATTTTTTAGAGAAAAGTCACTAAGCAAGGACCATGGTCCTTTTGTCTCCTCTTTGGCCTCTTCCTGTCATTGGCTTAGAATAGAGAAATTATGTTTTTAGCAACAATTACCATGAAGGGCCCTGAAGTGACCTCATAACTGGAAGCTAAAGGTGAGGAGCAGGAAAAAAAAGTCAGGATGAGGCCATGAAGTATGCTACCCTGGCATTCTTCTCCCCATCCCTGTCTTGTTTTCTATGACAACTAGTGCCTATGCTGAATAAATTGCTTCTTAGCATCTTCCTAGTACAACTGAGTTTGATCAGGACAAGAATAACTTTCAATGGAAAAGGACTGATTTGCTTAATAGTCTCTTCTATATGATGGTCGCACAAATACAACTTTAAAATGTTTCTCTGATGGCACCATTCATGTTTGGTTTTGGCCTAGCCTTTGCTTTAGACCACAGAACCTGGCAAGTTCCTTGTCTCAGGTCCATTCTCTACTTTCCTTACTGACAAATGTAGTTTTTCTTAGAGCAGTAATGTGCCTGGGTAAATGATGTGTGTGACCATGCGATACAGATCTATCTACTAAGTTGTGAGGAAAAATATTCAAGGGGTTCTGGACATGCTTAATTTCCTGTTGAGTT